ACTCAGCCACAGGGAGTTAGGGGGAGGAGGTGCGTTGAGGAGGTGCGGGGAGGGAGGAGGAGGGGAGGTCAGGGTTCAATTGACTTTGATTCGTTTGATTGTTGCAATTCATTACATTCTTCATTGGTCTTGTTCTTTATCCATCATAGATCTCCTAAGATCATTCGCCGCGGACCGAACCTCAAATATATAATACAATTACAAAGATATTTTTAAAATAACAGTAAATTAAAACATTTCTTATGTAAACAAAGTTTTGAATGATTAATATTCAAGACGTGTCTCTATGTGAAGTAAGACTCGTCTAAAATCTAATGATATCAAATAGTGGTGTCATTATAACAATCTTCTATACATATATGTATATCATCTATACTCCTTCAATTGTGCTTTTCTTACGAAAGTTGTGTAAATATCTTATATCATATAACATTCTTATAATGTCTGTCTGTCTCCGTCCAGGACTGGTCTGTGTATCCTCTAAAAGTCTATACGAGCCCTAGACCCTGGAGTGTAGACCGTCACACATATTGACCTATACGTCTTATATTATTAAGTTATAACCATATTAAGTATACTTTTTCATATGCATATCAGATAGGGAACATTCAATGCCGGTACATATTTATCCTTTGTGGATCATTCTTAATTATTTTGTTCATTAGCGACTAAGGACAAAGAGAGATCAATGAAAATATACGACGATTATAAAACAACAAAGACGTGACTAGAAGATGGACAAAACGTTGACGACACGTCATGCTAACACAGCAAGGGACCTTAGTAGTTAGTAAGGCCAAATACTAATAACATTGTAAGTACATGTAAATTTAATCTTTATGTTTCACAGACCCAAGCGGCTGCTTCAACAGATAGACGAGATACACGAACCTTCCCTCCTCAACCGAGATCTTTCCAACTATAATCTCACATTCAAATTTTAATTGTATCTGGTTATAGTTTTAGCAAGAACCATTAATCATAGTATTATTTTTACATTCCGGGATGTATGTACGGTTATGATTCAAATAACTCTATCGTGCCGACCTCAACAGCAGACGCTAGAAAACATTGAAACTCTCTGAGTTAATTTATCAAACAAACTAGCTCCTACTATATGTATTAAACTAATGATATTTTGTATTGTGACGTCAGGAACTACCACCTAGTTGAGCGACACATGGAGTTATAAAACAAATATTGTTTAAGATGCACGTCGTGCTCAATAAACCGTAACCCGACCGTAACGAGTCACTGTAATGTTTTGTAAGACGAGCGGTGACGACTCGCTCCAGGCCTATACAATATACATTATTATAAAGGGTCGAACACGACAGTTTTTGTGACAAGTTCCCTGAAGGAACCACAACATGTGGAACTAGCGTCGCTGTACCTGGAAACCAAATGGGATCAAAATGAAATATTCAAACAAGAAATTATAAATGACGCTAGACTATTTCCCTCTAAATTTTATGTAACTTAATTATAAATTGATCCTATTATTATTTTTGCTCAAGGTCATCAATTTTTGTATTTTAATTTTAATATGTTATTTTATATTTTGGCCAACGTGTGTTTGGACGTTTTATTCTTCTTAGCTCCAAATGAACTTGTAATCGGAGGAAACTTGGTTGGTTGTGTATTATTGTATGTATTATTTCAGTTGATTAGTTTTGATACTGTTTGTTTCCCAATAAATTAAATAATAATAAGTTAATCTGGTATGGAACAAAACAAATTCATTGTTTGAACCAAAGGAGAAACCATAATGTAATGAGTGAAGGTACTACACGTTAGGAAGAAGTGATCGCGTGAAGATTTCAGGTAGGAATGAGATACTCTCTGGTAGGAACAAACTGGTAGTACTGAGAACATGATGTGAAAGAGACCCGCCTTCAAACTTCACAAATTATTATTCCCGCTCATTAAAAGCTAGATACATTAAGTAAATGGAAGTCATTCATTAACTATTCTTTTCAGAGGAGCCCGCTATTTTATGTCTCATCCTTTGTTTCCGAATTCTGTAGACAAAAAGTAATCAACGTCTTTAAAAAAACGAAAGAATGGACCCGTCCGATAAGGATTCTTAGTTTTGTGGTAGAGAAACACATCGGACGTGATGGAATTCATTGCGCCACGATACGAGAAAAATGGAAAGAAACGAGGATAGGCCGCGAACTGATATGATGACACTTAGATGATGTTTAAAGGCTGATTTAACTATTATTGTAACAAAACATACATTTATAAAGTACTGATAACTTTACTCCCTCTTTAATATAGTAATATAAAAGGATGTATTAACTGTGACTTGGTTCCTTATCATTAGTGAGTACCGCGGTAATTATTTCTATAAAAGGGTTTGTTTCTTTAAAAGGACGGAGCCAGCGTCTGAAGGAGGAGTCGGGAGCTCGAGTGTAATGTTTTATATGTTTGATGTCATACCAGAAAGAACACCCGTTATCCGTCGACTTTATCAGACAAATAGTACGGCCCGCTAACAACAAATATTTATTAATGTAGACGAGGAGCAACACTACGTCATACTTTTTTTAAGTAATAATTATGTTACATAATATTCAATGAGGTGAATCAAGTGTATCGACAGTCAACATTCATACACTATACTGTGCTTGTTATACAGCTGACACGCAATATATAATCTGATGATCAGCGGCGACCGTCACATAGATCTAAACATCTCATCCATCATCTGTAATGACGAGGAGGCAGACTGACGAGCCTCACAATAGACATTAGAGATCCTTAAGATGACGTCACACATTGTTTTCTATTTTTATGTAAACATAATAAAATATTCATTATATTATTCAATCGACGACTAAAATAATACAATTCCGAGTATAGAGGCAGTAGGCAATCGTTCGAGCAAACAAAAGAGTATCTGAGTAATAATACAAAAGGAACGTTATCTAGTACGCGAGACGCAAACAAACAGACAGTCAGATAACCGTCCGGCGACCGTACTTACTAACATCGGCGACTCGTTACTGTTTGACTTACAAAAACAAACTCACTTCTAGTCCCTACCACCGGGAGTGGAAAACTTTCACAGCTGGAGATGACCGATATAACGACCAGGAGATGACTTTAAGGAAGCTTCCAGGTCACGCCACTCACTGACTTGTACTATCTGACTGACTGACTTATACGAGTCGCAAAAATAATATGAATATATGAAGACACACACGCGAACAGCGAGCGTGTGGGCGGTCAGCGCCGGCCGCCGCGCAACGTACCAGAATATTAAGGATGCGGCGTTACTCAACAGACACACGTTTTAATTATAAGGTTACGAAATCATTCCGTCAAATTGCAATCTTTCTTTTAAACATATATATATGTTTTATTCAACATTCCGTATAGTCTTTGACGTCAGTTTACATCAACGAGTCCACATATTTTAATTTTACGCTATCTGTATCAGTCGGCCAGTCGGCCAGTCGACCAGTGAGACACCGTAACATATTGTTACCGTCTGTACATAAGGCACGTCAAACGTCGTGAGTTGAGATGCTGCGTGTGGTCACGGATGGAGGGAGAGGTGTGTGCCAGATGTCACGGCCGCACCATAACTGTTAGGTTTAATATATCTGTGTTTCTATACAGTAGACCTTAGTGATCTCCGGCCGACCCATAGCTTGTAGTGTTAATATAGACAACTATCTCCCGAGCCACCCTCTCTCCTCACCCCGCCTCGTGAATCAATCGTCAGGAGCTCCTGTTGATGTAACACTCCCTGTGACCTCATCTCAGGAACATCTCATCCTCGGTTCCTACACCGACACTGTTCACTCATTCTTTTAATTAAAGTTCAAGCTTTATATATTTTTGATAAACATAAATAATTATAAGAAAAATGAATAGAACAATACACATAGTTTGCATTAACATCTTTAATATTTTCACCATTTTAAAAGTGTATGACCTAGAATGTGTTCTCCGAGTCTCTCAGGTGTCGTCGGTCACCCATGCTCAGTGCTCACACGTGATGTGATCCTAATTTGTCCTGTACTCATCGTTTATAACATCTATCACTCATCATTATAACACCAACAGTGTATTTATAATATTTGTCAGTCCGCCCGTACGTTGTTTCGTTGTTTCGTATATCCCATCGCTCGCTGACTCACCTTTTAATATTAACTGTCTTATCATTTCAAGTCTAATGTACTACAAATAACATTAATGTTCTATAATTGACCTACAAACTAACAAAATGATTGCAAAACATTTTAATAACCTTTTAATATGAAGATTCATTATATAGAACGCGTGTCTGTGTGTTCCTGTGTGTGTCTGTGTGTGTGTGTTTGTGTGTGTGTGTCGTTCCACAGACCGGATACAATTTCCGTCACAGCCTGTTTTCATTCATGACGCATTTATATCGATTTGAGAATTTTGTTCTCCTAACTTGTGTACCAACTATGAACTTAATTATTGATATATAATTATTTATATTGTGGTGTGTTTCCTTTCAGTACCCCGTGATGTAAGGCTAAGTCGGGTTTTCATATTAGTGTAGGAATCGACCCACAGTCATAAAAAAAGTTAAAATTTCACCTCCACAGAGAATGGTTGAATTAAGATTCACTCAGGAAGTGGAAGGCGGTGCTACATGAACGTTATATTAAAAAATAAAAATAAAATAAATGATCATTGAGATGATGAGCTCGGGTAACTGGATGGAGGGGATCGAGGGTGGTGACAGTACGGACCAGGACCGACCAGGATACACTGGACACTAGAGACATCTGGAGACATCGAGACACACGTTATGTTATGTTTGACTCAAATAAGAAATGACAGGAGAGTGTTTGAAGACATCACGAACACACGGAGAGCTGACGAGGAAGAAGACACACCACCTCGATAACGTTACAGGAGGAGGGCGATATCAACGACAGGAGTTTTAAATTAAAATACAGTGACCACATAATGATGTAACAAATCTACTTTAAAAACAATATTAAGAGTGAATGCCCATTGAGAAAGAACGCTTCGTTGCTTGTGGAAAAATTCGATTCAGGAGTGAAAGGTCTCTGCTGCGGACCCAACAGCAGTGTACCGAGCGAGTGTTTGTTAAGACAGTTAATAATAAACACGAAACTGGTCCAACGACGACACTCATCATACTGTCATTAGTGTTATCAGAGCGAGCGAGGAGCAGGCGCCGGCTCACGGGCGGTGAGGCGTCGACACCTACTGCCGACCTATATGTGATACACACTGACCACAAGCGATGGGCTCTTGATATACACAAAGGACTCAATGTGTTTTAGGCAGCGAGCGACGGTTCTATATCAGGATGTAATATAATATAGAATAAATTTCCTAATAATGTTTACTTAAGATAAATATTTTTGTACGTGGAGATCTTCAAACCGCTCTCCTTCTCCTCTGAAGATTTAAAACGCTAACATTACTAAAAATTTTGTTAAATTTACAACTCTGTCTGTAACATTGATCCGTCTTGTTTTTTCTAATATAATATTCTGTGGTTGTTAAAATTAGTTCATGTATGGAGCCATACATCACTTACAGAGACTCGTCATTATATGAGAACATTCACTCACACACACACACACACACACTCCACAAGTTTTCCTAACCCACTCTCACATTTAACTATAAGATATCATCGGTCTTTACTCTTTAGTAATAATGTTTTATTGTTCCTGAACAACACTAGTGATTCTTACAAAGCGCGTCGTCTTCAATATGTACTGCTATCAACACACACACCGCGTGTGACATTTACTGCGAAGGTGTGTTTCCTTCACGGACACATTCCGCACAACTTTAATGTGTGTGTGTGAGTCTGCATGTCGTGTGTACACACTCACACACAGTCAATCGTCTGGGACACATTGACCCGGTCACGCGACACCTGCCTTTATATCTCGCAGGGATAGGGCCAGCTGACAGGGAATTCTTTGATAGACTATACATCCTGCACTTATAAAATCCTACATCCTAAAATACGGTTCAAGTACATATAAGGGAAGATATAAAATATGTATATTGAAGGACTATAGAGTATAGACACGATGATAACGGAAGAATCAGCAGAAGTGATCTCTTCTCAGCTTAGAATGGGTCGAGATATACAGTACATTAATATATGTATGAAATGAGAGAAGACAACGCAGGAGCATCGGTACCGAGCGACCGGGGCGAGGGAGGCGAGGGGCGGGGGGAGGGGACGGTGAAAGCGGACGACAACGACCTCGCTCAATGTCGAGCGAAACTTCCGACAAAAACGATACGCAGGGACATACAGATGTATGTGGAGATGATGAGACGTCATCTGGAAGAACCCACGAGGAGACGGACGGACAGACACAGAGGATGAGGAGACGAGGAGGTGAGGGGTGAACACGGGTGTCAGGGTGTCAGGGTGTCATGAGAACGACGACGATTATTAACAATTGAATGGAAGCTGCATCGGTGTGTGTAAACAGAACGACTCATTGGACAAAAACACACACACACACACACACACACACAAGAGATAAACATTAAACCGCAAAGACCCTGAGACTTAACACACTTACAGAACGTTTAATGAAACACGCTGATGGAACTCGACATCACTATGTATTATTACATGTATTATAAAAAATATATAACAATTACGGTTCTAAGGTGTTACAAGCTACCTGATGGATCCCTTTGGACTGCTTCCCTTTGTATTTGAAGGTCTAAAGATGCATATACAAATAATGTAATTCAGTACTACTCTCCACATGTCATGACAGTACCCAGTGCTTGTCGTAACACATCATTTAAATCGAGAAGTGTTCGTATCTATTTAATCCATTAGCGGCCGTAAGTTTTACTTCATTTTGCTTTTCATATTAATATGGTTTTTTGTTTCATATATCTCCATATTCTCGGTCACAATAAATTTTAATATATAATTTTCTCGTCAAGAACGTCGCGCGCGCGTGTTTGTGCGTGTGTATGTTTGTGTGTGTGTATGTTTGTGTGTGTGTCGTCATTCATGAACGGACAGTGGACACATAACCGACGCGTTACCATAACATCTCTGCGAGGTTTAGTTTCCTCATCGAACAATACATAACACGTAACTGTTCATTGTCAAAGAACGCTCTGTTTCTGTTATCTTGAGGAATGTCGTCAATTGTAAATGAATTCCTAATTCGTTTGAGTCATCGCGATAACAAGCGGAGACGCACCGAGACACGCTGACACGCACACACTGAACTGAACAGAAGCTAGGTATATGAACCTTCTGGACCACGAGACGTTTGTTACTAGACCTGTACACCGTCCCGACCGTCCCGACAACACCGATGAGCTCGTATCGTAAACATAAGCTACATGAAGACTTTATACTTATCATACACAGGTCGACTCGTGGCGAGGTGAAAGCGGTGAGGCGAGCGCACCCGCACCAAAGATATAGACGCGTTCACTGACTATAGATAGAATAGTATGAGAGAAGGAGACACGGCGCTCACGGTCATGTGGTCAACGGTGTTAGGTTGGAGATCAATAAAAAACAAGAATTTGATAATGATTTATATTTCAACAGCCAAGAGAACGGCAAGACGTTCACCGATGACGATTCGTCAATACAGTTTATCGTATAAATTAACACATACATATACAAACACGTACAACGTACACACGAGTGCAGAGGCTCGGGCCCGGCGCGGGGCCGGGGGCCGGAGCGGGCCCGAGCTCTCTCACATACATCTATATATACAGAGTGTGTCGGATACATCATACAGACGTAGTCGTTAACTAGAGTACAAAAATAATACTGTGTATTAAAGATACAGTGACCGCTCAGCACACGGTCTCCATGGGCACGCGGGCGGGGGCTGTGGCGGAGGCCGGGGCCGCGGCCGGGGCCGGGGCCGCCGTCGTGTGGGTCAGGGATTCCCCGCAGGATGGCAGGTGCGACGAGGAATGAGCCTGCGCCCCCGGGGCCCGCGCACACAGAGCCGCCGCCGCACGCTTCAGAGCCGCCCAGGCGTGAGGCTGACATCCCACCACCAGGAAGATGAAGACTCCTTGCAGGGCGTTCAGGAGGTCCGTGGCGTACCACACGTACTCCGGGCCCCCCGCCGCCCACGACACCACGTCCGCTCCCCACGTCACACCCATCACCACCACCAGCTTGGCGCACACGCGACCCAACGCCGCCCTGCCGGCAACGAGGCAGCTCGATATAACGACACCAAAAACAAAATATAAGAACGGAGGAATGGTAACATATTACATAGAGACAAACCTCTCGGATGTGGACTTGACCTCGTCGCGCCGCCACAGACCGCACGTGAGCTGGCGGGTGGTGGATATGAAGAGGGCGAGGTTGACCAGCAGCAGGACGCCGACCGGCCCGAAGAAGTACACGAGGATCTCCATGTCGCCGTAGAACCAGCAGCGCTGCACCGCGAACCGGGGCCGGAGCAGGCCCGGCGCCGCGCCCGGGGGCAGTCGGTCCAGCAGGGCCGCCGCGCCCGACACGGCCAGCGGGCCTCCCCACGCGTACACCATGTACACGCGGAGACGACACGCCTCCTGGCCGCGCTCCAGAGACGTAGGACGGAAGTCCCTGGGGAGAGACACGCACACATACACACACATGGAAACACATATACACACATGAACCGAACCCGAATACAAAATGAATTGGCGACGGACACTCTTATGTACCTTTGATATTTGGGAATCATAATAATAGCTCATGTGGAGGGGTTAGCGACATTTATTTGTTCAATGATTTGTTACATCACAAACTACAATAATCAATAATGACATGTTCATGTGACTCATAAGAAAATATAAAGTGAAACGACGCGGACTAAACAGAAATCAATTCTTTAAATGAGTGTTGTTATATAAATATTATATTACTATAAGATACTCATTACACTAAAGTCGAACAAGTTCCTATCGTTTATATGTAAACAGTGCTTCCATCATCCGATATTTGTTAATTAAGTTCAGCTCGTGAGTTAGGGCGATGATGAGTAGTGTGTTGGACTGACACACTGTACCCTACACCCTACACGGACCCTGTGGGGCGCGTCACCTTCACATATTAACTACATAATATAACATGACTTCTACATCGTTGTCACCTGTACCTTACTTATTTAAAGTTATTGTACAGTTCTTCTACCCCAGTTTCTTTTAGACACTTTAAACGTCATGATAAAACAAAGTAAAACAAAAAGGAAAAGAAATGATATATTCTTTGTTTTCTATAAAGTATGGTACCAGGAAGACTTCCGGGTAGCGAATGTTCGTATTTCATTATCGCATACAAAACTAAGATACACGCTCACAACACATCATACGAGTACAAGGAACAATCTTGATGAGTTATCAACAATCTATTATTATTTTTGATGAAACATATCCGTTTAATATCCGACCTCGTTAAGGAAAACAAAATCAAAATAAGAGAATAACATACAATGGATTACTTTATAACGACGATGAACGGTTCTCAAGAGTATTCAATTATATTTTTTATAGTTTCGGTTGTACTTCACGATCTTGTTAAGAGACATTTTGAGAAAAATCAATGGTTTGAAAAAAGTACACATTAGCAGGCGAGTAGAATGAGTTCTATGTGCTCCAGTTTAAATGTAGCAGAGTAGTTTTAATGTACAAAATTGATCTCTATCTGAATACTGACCACGATATTAAATGTCATCGATAAAAAATATTATCAAAATTAAATATTTTATCACCATTAAATATACATATGTATAATAAATATAAATTAATAAGTACTTAAAGTGACAATCATTATCTGTAAGTTTCTATCAGTAAAATCAACTCAAGACTACAAAATCAGTCGACATTACAATGACAATATCCCGGTTCGTCTAAAAAGACTTTTTAAAGAAAATATTTAGTGACGAGCATAATTTTATGAATCAAAAATAACGAGTGAATATAAAATTTAAAGACAAGGGAACTTACCGGAACGTCCACCAAATGTTAAAGCACATAGTGTTCAACCAGAAAAATGCGGACAGGAAGAGGAAGTGCATACACACAGCTGGACCGCCACACGCCACACGCCACATGCACAGAGAAATGATCACGTTAGAAATGACGGAAACTATGGAAACTTGACATCACAAGATGTAAGAGTAACGTGAGCTCACCGAGCGCTCGACACAGCGGAGGAGGCACGCGGTCCCCGGCCAGCTGAGTGGCGGCCAGGAGGACGTCTCCCAGCATGAGGGCCGCCACGTAGTGTGTCTGACAGCGCCAGTGGAGAGCGTGGTGGGCAGCGGGCAACGCGAACCCTGCTGCCAGTGTGGCCGCCAGGAAGGCTGCCCCCACGGCCAGGCCCGCTCCATATAGCGCGTGACGAGCGGTCTGCGCCGGTCGCGCCGACCGAGCTTCCTCCTCACAGGCCAGCACCCTCGTGCCGCTCTCGCCGGCCACGGCCTCCGCGCACCACGCGCCCGCTTCCAACGTGGAGCTCTCCGAGTTCAACTGGAGCGTCCCGCCCTCGAGTAATCTCGCTCCGCTCAATATTCCGGCGACCGCATACGTAGAACCTTCCGTACAGGAGGGCCAGCCGACACCGACGGCGCTACCGTTCGCGAGCTCACGCAATTCATGCAGGGCCTCGGCCGCTCGAGTCTCATCTTCCACGCACCGGGAGCCATCGAAAGCCCGTCCTTCAGCACAGCACTTGGAAGGTCCTCGGCCGCCGGCGTCCTCCACACAGACCAGGGCGGCCACCGCGTCCGCACAGAAACGATCGGGAGAGAGCGCACTCGTCGCCCCTCGCATCAACAGCGAGCCATTGTTGGCCAACAGCGCGTACGGTGCGGCGTGTTCGGGAAGGACTCGCAGCTCGGGGCAGGAGGGTACTCGTGAATACGCGATCCGCCAGTGAGCTGGAAGCTGACCCCGTTTCAAGAAATTGTTACGAGTCGGCGCGTACACCAGCGGAGCCCAAGGTCGGGCCTCGGTCACCGACACGCAAGCGTCGTTCACGGCCGTGGTCGGCAACAGGTCCGCCCTCAAAGACTCCGGGGACAGCGCCCGCTCCGGAGGGCAGCAGCGCGGCACGTCCGTGGGCGCGAGCCGGACGCCGCCCGCCGACACCCACCACCACCCGAACACCAGCAGCGCCGTCACCGACATCTTCCACCGACACTACTATTCACCGGACGGTGTCGCACCACGGACACTGCATTTTACGATTACTAACAATTCACTCGATTATTTTTTTAGTCGATTCATATATTTCTCACTCCAACGAAACTGCAGTTCACTAGCGGCACGTAATAATAAAACATATTCGTCCGACGAGATCGTAAGCACGTGTGTATGGCCTCGTGGAACGAACGACGCGACCTCTCACTCCGGGAGCTCGGTAGACACTGACTGCTGACTGCTGAATGCTGAGTGTCGACTGCTGACTGGTGGAGGAGGGAGAGGCCCGGGGGAGGCGGCAGTCCCAGCCCGCAGCCCGCAGGCCACGGCTCGCTGTAACTCGGAACCTATCTCAATATATGTATTATAATAGGGATATTAATTTGTAACGTTTTCGTGTTTTAATGTGTTAGTCCTAGACCTCTGTGTCGAGAGCGCTATGTCCGAGGCTACAGAACGTTGTCATTATATTACTAGGAACTCGTTTATCTCAGTCCCGAGACGATTTAAATATATTTTATAACTATTTGTTGGCACATGACTAATGTACCGAGACCTCACTTACAGCTCACTTATGTAGTATTGTTATAATCGAGACCGGTTTTGTAGTTGCTATCTTCGTGATAATATACATTTAATTTGCAGGTAAAAAGTTTTGTTTGTATAAAAGTTCTATTATTTTGGAAAAAAGGTTTGTACCTACAGGTAATAATTACACTTGTACTACTTACTGTAGCCAGGTAGTAATATGAATAAGAACAATTATTATAGACTTTTAGTTTCTTCTAATAAAGTTAATAAGGATGTTTGCATGTTTTTGATGGCTTTCCATTTTTTTATAAATTATCAATATTAAATGATTTTAAACAAAGTTACTCGATACATACACATATCAAATACGTTCTTAATTCGATTGATCTGTTTTAAAGAATAATTTTCAAAATTTAAACAATGGAAGGATGATTCACAAAATTAAAGTTTATTATTATGTTTACCACACTCATGTTTATATCACAGATCGTTGCGATGTATAGAAACCTTTTCATAGAACTGCTTTTATAATCTTTTTGAAATTATACGGGCGAAAGTTGTGTATTGATGTATGTATGATTGCTCCTCTTTAATGCAAACTTTACACTAATTTAGATGGGATGGTTCTATGATAAAGGATCAAAATTATCACGAAATGCCATTATTCATGCGGACTAAGTCGCAGACAAAATTTAGTGTATTATTATAAACCAGAACTTAGAAGAGGAGACGAGTAGGTACATATTATATAGTGTGTAGTTGTATTCATTCGACTGCTCTTTGATACGGTTTAAATGTTGTCAGTTCTCTTGGGATACATTTGATAGTCTTTTTTAATGTTTAAATATAACTTTCTGCCTAGCAAGTATACTGAAAAAAGTAATAAAATTAACAAAGAAGTAATTTATGAAATGACTGACGGCATCATCAAATAAGGATGGTAATGTTGTTAAAAGTTTAAAGAACGTAATGTCACATATTATATGAAATCGAATAAGTAAACAGTCAAAATAATTTGAACTAAAATTTTGCCACAAATTACTTTAGAGTCACTTGTATATTATGATGTACTTCTACTTTAATACTCTATTTTTGTTATAACTGTATAAAACTATTAGATTTTTCGTGATTAAGACCAGAACTCATAAAAATGAGAAACACGCAAACAAGTTCTGACGAAAACAGTTATTGGGATTATCAAATAGAAAACAATCTTAAGTCACTTTATAAAAAAAAAGAAGAATTTTATAAAAGTAGCAAAAGAGCTAAACTAAAATAGTTAAAATACAATAATTAAAATTTCTAGGATAACTTATTTTAACGTCTCATCAAACTGTCGATTGTCGAAATCAAAAGTAAAATAATTCATTCCGCGTTCAGCGGCGCCATCTTTCCATCAGATATATTATTAATAAATAATAAACATCTCAAGAGATGGCGCTGTTACACGAACGTTGTACATTAACACGAATCCCCGCTAGATGTCGCCTTACATGAAAAGTATATTATTTATCTTTAACAAAACAATACATATACATAACATGTATTATCACTACTCTATATTGCCTCAACAAATTGACCTGACCCAGCTGACCAATGGTATTTCTTAATGTTTTGGGAACGAGTAATAAAACGTTTGGGTAAATCGAAATATGATAAGAACGTTTAGGAAAAACCTTCAGCAACTATAAAATCAAATAATTCAACAAAATTAAAATAGAAGTATTTTTATTATCAACAATAGTTTATTAGTTCGTCGTCACATCAATCGACCGGAGTCTAACAAACACTAACAGAGCACCAAACGCACACAATATACGAAGTCTTCATGTCGACATTTATACGATCAAGAAATAATTACAAACATCGGAGACAAGATATTTATTAGGGAGAATTAGGCGCCAGAGATTCAGAGACGGGCGGCGAGCGGTCCAGCGACACGTCGGGCCCGTCGGCGTAGCGCGGCGGGTTGGCCCAGGGGTCGTAGCCCAGCACCGACAGCATGGGCGCCAGCTCCGCCATGTCGGCGCGGACGTCCGCCGGGATCTGACCCACCCACTTGTCGAGGGCGTCCAGGTTCACGGGCCGCACCACCTGGTCCGACGACCGCTCCACGCTGAACGGACAACGGACAAGAATAATAACAAGTGAGCTCTGACTCAGGTAACTCAGCTACTGAGACACGCTCACTACTTTGTGTTCTTTGATAAAATGAATGTTTGTAGTAGTCGTTTACATCAGTGGGACGTTGGCCGATAATACACGTTGACATACATATACATATGATTCATACAGATCATTGGATGCACATATATTAAATACAAATACAACAACTTTCAAATGTCGGTTTGCAAGAACAAATTTAGGAATAAAGGTACCTTTAAATAGGGCTTTTAGAACTTATAATAATATTTCTAAAACAGTGGATATTGATATATTTAACAATAATAAATCTTATAAAACAAAAATAAAAAATAACTTTAAACTTTTAATGTAATACAATACTTATTGTAAATAATATCTGCGGAATAGTTCATAAGAGTCCACCTCTTACAAAAAGTTCTACTTTATTCTATATTATTTATTATTTAATAAGTTGCTTTGATATACAGGGTGACTGGTGAATTACTATCAATATTTAAGAGGAATACTCAGTACATGATTCTCATTCGAATTATGTAAAAAAATAGGTACTTAATTTTTGACCAAATTTCCGTATAAAGAAATAAAGTGTTGACACGTTCCAAGTGTTCCAAATGTGGACGCGTGCGGCGGCGTGCTGATACAACATCACGCCGCCGCACGCGTATGTGTGTGTGTGTGTGTGTATACCTAATCTGTAGGGTGTTCACACGATGCGTAATTAATTACGTAACTTTTGGTTAACTTTACTTAGAAGTTTATTAATATTTGTGTTATATTAATTTTTATTTTGTCATATATGATCGTCAAATATCACGTCCTCAAGTATCGATAGTAATTCACCAGTCACCCTGTATAAATATATTTTTTGTGAATGCATGCTGAGTTAGCCTTTAATTGTAGTGTACTTTGTAAGATCATTGTACATAATGTTGGCTTCCTAATAAATAAATAAATATATTACTTGGAGAGCGCGACCCCGTTGGGTTGGTTGATGTATCGCTCGTGGTGCAGCACCGCCTCGTCCCAGGGCAGCTCCAGGAAGGACAGCACGCGCCGCAGGGTCGGCTCCGGGGACAGCACCAGCGACTCGTAGCGGACCAGCAGGCAGCGGGACGGACCCAGCGACTTACACTGGTGGTACATCAGCTCCACCGCGTGGTTCCACTTGGTGAGGCACTGGCGGTAGCTGGTCAGGTCGAACCCGGTTATGGTCACCTGGAGAATAAACAAGACACGTGGAGAATACACTCACGAGGACACACTCGCGAGGACACACTACGGAGCTACAGCGATACCTTTCTGGTGATGATAGAGTGTACAGTGGCGCGGCCGTCACGGACCATGAAAAGAAATTTGGCATTCGGGAATAGCTCCAGCACGTAGGTCCCCATCTTGAGGACGAGGGGGTCCTTGTTACACAGACGGGACGCCGGCTCCCCGTGACCCACGATCACTTCCAAACAGAAGGCGGCGATCGCGTTGTCGAGCACCGTCTTGGACACCCCGGCCTGTGTAGTGTAATAAGTAGGATGTAAGTCATATATTGTATAAATATTAAGATCGTTGCGTTGATTATTCAGTAATAAATCATCTTCTACCAAACACACTCGTTTCAATAACATAAGTCCCCTCATGGCGACCCTGCCAGTTTTGACACATTAAAACAGGCTTTGACAAGTCCCGAGGTATTAGAATTTCTCGATTTTTCAGAAAATAATGAATTCGTCATTCAAACCGACGCTTCAGGTACAGCAATTGGCACTGTTTTATGTAATCAAAATATGAAACCGGTAGCTTTTGCAAGCAGACCTCTTAATAAAGCCGAAACAAACTACCCCACTATTCAAAAAGAGTTACTTGCTATGGTGTGGGGAGTAAAATACTTTAGACCATATGTATACGGTAGATCTTTTACGATTATGACAGACCATAGACCTTTATTATATCTATTCTCAATGAAAGACCCCTCAAGTAAACTTCTTAAGTTTAGGTTAGCACTAGAAGAAAACGATTTTAAAATTTTATATGTAAAAGGTAAAGATAATAGCATAGCGGACGCTTTGTCGAGAATTGATATAACATCGGACACTTTAAAACAAATAAACTAAGAAATATTGTTAGTTATGACTAGAGGCCAAAAGAGATGTTTACAAAATAAAGTAGAGCAGGATAATACATCTAAAATTAGTAAACCTAACGAATCGTGGTCTGATCAACCACGAGTAGTTGAGGTACTAAAGATACCAAATGACTTTTATTAATAATGAGGAGTTTAAATAAATTGAAAAATAATGATAATTTATGCGAAGAAAAGGAATGTTTCATTTATAGTCTACGTAGAAAAATATTATATATTAATCTTAACATTAGGGCACAATTTACGCGAGCCGAATTTGTGACTAAGTTAGGAGAATTTTGTAAAACTAGAAAAATAAATGGTCTATGCATAGTAAAGAATAATGAAATTAAAAATTTCATAAAAGACATGCTAAATGAAATTAAAGAACGTAAGGACTGGATTGGTCCACGTATTTAGGTTCTAAGAGGAGTTAAAAGAATATATGACGAGGAAGAAACAAAATACATATTACATGACTTTCATTTACTACCCAACGCAGGTCATGCAGGTGTGCGTAGAATGACCAATAATATTAAAAGAAAATTTTACTGGCCAGGCTTGGATAAAGATGTTAAAACATTTGTTAGCAAGTGCGTTCAATGTCAAAAAATGAAACATTGTAGGTATGTCAAGGCGCCCATGGACATAACTACAAAGGCTTCACATGCTTTTGAAAAGATCTATCTTGACGTCGTTGGACCTTTGCAAAGGGACATTGAAGACAATTGCTACATTTGAACACTTCAATGTGAATTGACTAAGTTCGTAGAGGCCTATCCTCTAAAAAATAAAGATACGGTAAGCAGTGGTGGCTGTACCTTAAGTGCACTCGTGCGCTGAACACCAATTCAAAAGATTTAAAAATTACAAAATATTACTTCATCTTTATTTTTAAATTACCATTTTAATATTTATTTTCTAAACATACAAAAACGTATAAAAACAAAATTTCCAATTATGGTCAAAAAGTTTGAGCGCTTTACTAAACTAATATCTCGTGCGCTTCGGCGAGTGCACGAGGCCTGCTAATACATCTTGTATGAGATACGGATACTACCATATACGCCTGACGCGTGAAACAAAAGATAGTTCATAGAAATGTACCGAGTAATGAGTCGGTTCTCGAGCGCCGCACGAGCGGCCGAAGATTACCGAGAGCCCCCGATGTATGACGAATTGGAATTGAAAAGAATCAAAACTTTTCTCCGAAATACCATGCACTTGCTAAATGCACTTTCTGTGCGTAGTATTGAAAAAAATATTTTTTTAAATTATAATTATACAAACAATATCCGATTTTAATAAAAAGGTGATTGAACATTTTGCTTCAGAAAAATAAACATATTTATTGTCAATTGTTGTGTGGTTGCATTTTCTATTTTTAATATTTTAGTAAAGTGCACCACCAGTTTGATAACCCACCAGCCGCCACTGACGGTAAGTATATCAAAAGCTTTAGTTAATAATTTTATATAAAGGTTTGGGATACCAAACCCCATAGCTACGGATCATGGAACAGAGTTCGTATCTACTGTAATGAAACAGGTATGTAAAATTTTAAATATACAAAAATTGATTTCTACAGCTTATCAACACCAATCTATCGGTTCACTTGAAAATTCGCATAAAAATTTAGGTGCTTTCTTAGGCATTCAGTGTGATGGTCAGAAAGACACCTGGAGTCAATGGTTATCTTTTTGGTGTTTTAGTTTTAATAATACTGTTCATACAGAAACGACATACACACCATTCGAGCTAGTTTTTGGTAGACCTAGTGTAATACCTTGTAGAGTAAGTCAACATATTGAACCATTATATAACCCAGATAATTATGCTTTAGATCTTAAGTTTAAGTTACAAGTAGCGCAGCAGGATGCTCTTGAAAATTTAATTTTAAGCAAACAAAATCGTAAGTGTAATTATGATAAATATACAAATAATGTAACTTATACTAATGGTCAATTAATTTTAATTAAAAGTGAACCGGCAAATAAGCTGGATATATAGTGGGTTGGACCATTTGTAGTTTTAGAAGATTTAGGAGTGAATGTAAAAATTTTGAAATATAAAAAGCCTTATATTATTATCAATAAAAATAGAACTAAACCATTTAAAACCTAAATTCAATTATTCGTAAAAAAAAATTTTATCAAGACATTTTTTTTTTCTTTCAATTCAACCCCCGAGGTGTAGTGTAATAAGTATGTAAGTCAGATATTGTATAAATATTAAGATCGTTGCGTTGATTATTGAGTAATAAATCATCTTGTACATAACATAAGTCCCGTCACCTGCTCGAGGCGCAGGCTCTCCTTGGGGGAGCGCATCCAGTGTTGTCTCATCTGTAGTATGCGCGGCACCACGCGCGTCTCCTGGCCGCAGCGCACGTCCGGGTGAGCGTCCAGCATGGCGCGCATCAGCGTGGTGCCGGACCGCGGGACGCCGCCGATGAAGATGAGCGGCAGAGAGCGGCCCTCGAGCGGGTCCCCGGGGTCCCGCGCCGGCCTCGTGCCGGGGACTCGCCGGCCCCACACCCACAGCAGCAGCACGCCCGCGGCCAACAGCGCCGCGAGCCGCGCGCGCCCACCGCGACCCATGCGCAACAGATAACTCTCCTCCTTCTGCACTAGCAAACAATTACAACATTTAGAAAACAGTTTTTTTAATATAGGCTTATTCAGATAAGAACATCATTTGTTAATGTTGTTTAAAACTCATTATCCCAATTTATTTAATTATAATTTGGGGATTATTCTTGTTATTTACAGTATTGACTGCAAATAACAACAATAATCCTCAGACTGTGAGTGACACTCAACAGACATTCATTATTACTATAAAAAATATATACATTTTATTATACTTTCTTAAGATAATGTTTGTATTAAAATTATTATGAAATTTTTGTATATTTTTTTCATTGCAATATAAATGAAACAGTCGTTCAATTTGTCATAACTCACTGTTTCTGACCTTGATCATGTAATTAAATCTCCTGAAACGATATCTAACATTCAATTTATAATTTCCAACATGTATAACATGCTGCCAGTTACTGACACATCTCAACAAGCAATAACTTATTTTGAATTTAATGTGTATAATAAATTAGTAAATTAGTTATTAATATGTAGTCGACTACTTGTTGCCACGAATTACACCTCACAACTGAGTAGCACAAGCAGTCTACAAGTTGTGATATCGGAAAACTACGATAAGTAAAAAAGAACATAAATCTGGTTATAAATTATTGAATTATTTATCACGACCGGGCTCTGTCTTTATCACAAAAATACACTTACCTACATTAAATTTTAATGGATATAAATGAGAAAACTTTTATTTCTTGCCAACACATCTTTGCCGAAAATTTTTTTATCCTATATAGGATTGATGTAAATAGGAACTTCAAATAAAACAGTATACTAAAGTCAAACACTAAAATTATTTTATATTTTGAAGAAAAGAAAAATGCCTTAAGTTACTTATTCAATTATCGCTCGTGTTACAAGTTCACTGGCCTACAGTTTTAAAAACAAATTAATATTTTGGCTTCTGAGATTTTAAACGTCCTAATGCCTCAGTTCTCAAATGTCAATAATACATGACATGTCATTTGTGATTTGTTCTTGTTGCTAGTAGCTGCATACATTACATGACATATGCCATTCATATATCAAGATTGGCAACATTAAAACATCACTTTCATATTATTATAGAATTGTTAAAATATTCTTCAAGGTTTTTTTTTATGTATCAGCTTTCTTTTATAAATTGTTGAAGTATAAAAAAATTTCATGTAACGCTTATAACGAAACCTTAGACGGCTGGTATTTTCATTATAGACTATAAATGAAAAAAATACTGTCGTGAAACATTGTTTGTAGAGAAAAAAATGTGTTACTATTTACTGACAAACATTAACGTAAATTGATTAAGAGTTTAGTGTTTTCGTTTTAACTTTGTTCTTCAAGATTTTTTTAATGATTTTATGCATATTTTTACTTTGTATTTTCTTATAAATAGTAATAATATTAATATTTGCAGTCAAACTTATAATTTTATTCGTTGAAGGCATGGTGAACCGAGAAGCGAATGCATTTATTTCGAATGACGATCATTCTTAAATAAATTGAGGAAGGGATATTTTTTAATCTTCATATTGAAAGATCATCATAACATATGTGTATTAGAAATGTCAACTGAAAACCAATATTATTATTTTCAATTATATTATTTTTAGTCATTAATTTAATGTACTAATAATTTGTAAGGAATATTAAAATAAAGTTCAAAAAATTATATTAGCTAATATACTAGTTAGTCGAGGAAGTCAAATTAATTTCATAAATATGTAATATGTTACAAAACACATGTTTTTAAATGATCTGAAATTTGTTATTTACATTGAAATTCATAATAAACTAAACCAATAATTGAAGCACCCTTACAATTTAAGAATATTTTCATATAGTAACATTAGTGTTTTTGCTAAGAGTGAGACAGGATAAAGGGTTAAAACTCAAATAGATTTTTTTTCAAAGAAATACATCGCTGTGCTAAACATATTTTTGAAAATATTATCATAACAATAATATATGTATTTGTAGAAAATAAAAAACCGTGATAAAATAGTTGTGATATCTTGTGTTTGAAAAGATATTGAGGGATTTAAAAATCTCATTGTTAACATCGGTTGATTATACAAAATCAATATGGCGTCTTCCGGAGTAGATTTGTCACAGCATTATGTTTACGGCGGCTTGTTCAGGGTTCTAAATATTAATGTGAAAAAGTTTGATGGCGACATGTCCGACAGTGTCACTCGGTTGAGCTTGTGCTAAAAGAAATGGAAAGTATTAAGAAGACTGACTTAGTGTATTTAACAAAATATTCGTAATTATTTTTTTATATAAACAATACATACGAGTCTTCTGTAAATAAGTGCAGTTTTGTAGAATATATTGCTTAATATTTAGATAGTGAACTCTTAGGTTTTGTGAATTTTGTCTCGCGATGTCGCACTATGAGTGGACGAAATGATCCCGCCTCAACTTTTGGACCAGCTTCTTCACCGTTACCTCTCATGGTAAGAATCTGTCTCAATTATACTTTATACAATGTACATATTGGTATTACTCAATTATTATTGTCGTTATTATTATACTTAATTCAGCAAACACAATAAATAGTGTTGTTTGTTTTTTTCATACAAAACGTTAGTTTTCTGACAGTGCACTGTAAGTGTTAGTTTATTAAATGAAACAAACAATAGTTTCATTAATTAAGACCAATACAAGCACTCCATACTGTATGTCTGTCTATATAAAGATATAAATCATAAAGATGAGTTTTGTGGTGGAGTGTAATGTGTAAAGTTTCAGTTATTCCATTAAAGTGTTCAATAAACAGACCATGGGCATGTCACCAGGAGCCTGTATGTAACACTCGGAGCCTCCGGGCTGTACTGTATTTATATTAGAACAAGTGATCTATACACTTAATTTAGATGACATCTTTATATCTTTTGTTTATTGTTTTTTTTAATTTTACATAAGTATTAAGTGTCCTGAGTGTAGCGGTTCCCTCAGATAGTTATGACAACAAATGCTGGCCTGCTTTATTCTCACTTCTGATCTGTTCAATCCTCTGTTATAATAACTCTACTGACTTGAATACTTTATGTTTGAGTGCATGATGAGACAAATGATGACTCGTTTTATTTATTCATGATACTTCATAGTAATATATATGTAAAATTCCATTTTACATAAATTTTATAACTTTAAAACAGAATCATAAATATTAGTTTGATTGAATATTATGTATGTATTGTTAAATGAAAGTATGTTTTTCATTTACTACACATTTATTTTAAATTTTATAACTGTTTAATTGTTATGATTAACATCCTTTACAAGAACCATGATAATGGGCAGACAATATGAAATGTCATCAATGTATTTATAAAATAATTATAAAACCATGCTATCCAAAACAATTAGTTTCATTTAATTGAGTATAGACTTATATCTTAGATATCTTTATATTTTGTTACAAAGGTTACTGTGTTCTGAAAATTCCATTACAAATGGTTGATCTTTAGTTTGTGATTCACTGCTCCACAGTTCAATCTATGTTATTGAAAACATGACCTGCTTATATTTAAGTAAACACACCACATTAACCGTATCCCTTCACAAAAAAATATCTCTTTACTAAAACTTAAAACTCTGAGGAAACATTAAACAGACAAGGAAATGGGTGAATACAGTGAATCCCCGGTAATCCGGCCCCTGTCTAATCCGGCACCCCCTGTAATCAAATATGATCTGTTATTTATTATTGAATACATATTTTGTGTACGCTAATGCATGATTAAACAAGTTACAACTTGTACGCACCATCACTATTGTGCTTGACACATAGGGTATTGTTTTGATTCTGATTGCTTAGCTGGAATTTGAATTTGTACTTCAGAGTACATATAAGTACATATGTATATATAACTAGTTTTTGCCCGCGACTTCGTCCGCGTTAATTTCATCATTAGTAATATATGTATAGCTCTTTTCCGTCCTAGAGGCCATAAATAATCAGGTTTTTCCTGTTTCAATCGAACAGAATGATTGACATATTAGTTAGTTGTCACATCTAATGTCAAAGAAAACATTTGTATGGGAAATAGAAAAGGGCTATTTTTAGGGTTTTCCCGAAAATGAATCAATTTTTCTCACCTTTTAAACCTTCCCTGAACCTCCACGAACATTTCAAGACTAAGATAGGATAAATCCGTTCAGCCGTTCTCAAGTTTTAGCGAGACTAAGGAACAGCAATCCATTTTTATATATATAGAAGATATGTAAATAATCTTATCATTGAATCTGTAATTTGTCGTATTACAAGGTACTCTTTTGCAAAAAAAATCCGGACTATAGGGGGTTTTAGGCAGTATAATAATTAAAATATTCACATTATTAAGTAAAAAAAATTGTGATTACTAGGGTGTGGAACGTGGAACCGGTTGTGGAGGCGGTGGAGGGGGAGGGGGCGAGGAGCCTCTCAACGGGGTGGCCCTGGAGCGACGAGATGACGAGCCGCCCAGGAAGAAGAGCAAGCTGCAGGCAGTGGAGGACGTGTCGGCGCTCAGGAAACGAGTGCTGGAGTACAAGCTGCTGCGGCTGAAGAATCTGAGGGAGAGGTGAATTAAAATTTGCCATACATTGTTTTATAAATTCCTGAATGACTCATATATCACAACGGCACTCTATTACAGGTTCACGGAGCAACTGAGCGAGTTATATTTTCTTCAGGCGGGTGGCAACATGATGGACTACTCGGCTTGGCGAAAAAAACCTCCAGGTCCACAGCTGACCGCGTTCTTAGAGTCCCGCCGGCCGCCGCTCGTGGTGCCGCCCCCGCCGGAGCCGCCCCCCCCGCCGCCCAGGGCGTCCTCCCCGGTGGTGCCAGCCAGTACTCCTAGCGTGGAGCCGCCGGTGGTGTCGTCGTCTGTCACTCCGGCAGCAGCCGCCGCCGCCGCCGCCGACGAAATGGTCGAGAAGGCCAAGCAGGAGGCGTACGTGGCCGCGCGGGTGGCGGAGCTGGCGCGGGCCGGCCTGTGGACCGAGAGGAGGCTGCCGCGCGTGCTCGAGCCGCCCAGACCTAAGACGCATTGGGATTACTTGCTCGAGGAGATGGCTTGGCTGGCGCAAGATTTTGCACATGAACGAAAGTGGAAAAAGCAAGCCGCCAAAAAGGTAACCAATGTCAGAATATTATCTAGAACGATAAATCTTAAACATTCCTTTTTTTTCTGAGATAAAACCCCAAATACTTTAATTTATGTAAACTTCTATGAAGATGAGCGGTTGATAATAATATTGTTATTTATTTTAGTGTGCTCGTGCGGTTCAAAAGTATTTTCAAGATAAAGCCGTCGCGGCTCAGAAAGCTGAGAAAGCTCAAGAGTTACAGTTGAAAAAGATTGCTGCCTTCGCCGCTAAAGAAATCAGAAATTTTTGGTCCAATGTTGAAAAGGTAAACAGTGTAATGCATGATGTACTCAACATGAGATAGCAAGCTACGAAACAATTCTTCACACTTATCTGACCATACAAACTTTTCATTTTTCCTTAATAAATTATGTAATGGGTCAAGAATAATTGCACTTCTTGGGATGTATTCATGGTAGAAGTTTATTTTTCCTAAAAATTGTCTGATATTCTTTTGTGTCTTAGGGATTGGAAAATTTCTTATAGAGATCAAATTATCCTTCAGTGGTCTTACTGAATTGTTCTGAATTACATGACCGAGGTACTTTACCGAGTCTGAAGCAAAGGTACATTTCATAAATTTCAATCTAAAGCCTTCTTTTAATATTGCCTTTAATACATTTCTTATATGTTTTATATGTTCTTCAAATGTGGTAGAGTATATCAGGATGTCATCGATATAGTTTACATTTAGTTTGAACTTTTTTATCATATTATCTAATCCGATTATACAATCTTCATTTTCTATAACATATACATGAACCTCTTCTTCTAAATCTAATATTTTTATTTTTATTGTTATCAAGCCATCTGTTTTCTTCACACCATTAACCATCTTCATATATGCTATATTCACATCGTCCTTCTTTTCTTTTACTTTAATCAGTCTTGAATTTATTAAAGAGACCTGTGAGCCTGAATCGTAAATACCACTCACTTCTAGTTTATTTTCTAATAAAAGCTTGATTTTGATTAATGGTGTACTTATTCGTTTTTTTTTCTCTGTATTTATATATACTTCAACAATGGAGTTGTTATTTACATTCCTAGGCTTAAAAACCTTTTCAAATTCATTTTTATTTTTCTTAATCCAGCATGTCTCCTCCGGATGATATCTAATTCCCTTGTCCAAAGATTCACAAGTCTTAAATGGCTTCTTTCCATTAGTTTTATTTTTCAAAAGGAATGTACTATTCTTTATTGTACTTGAGTTTTTCTTGTACATCATACCTTCATATATTCTTATCTCATTGAACAAATCACTAATGTCATTGAGTTCATCCCTTTTTAATTTATTTAAGATAAACCCAGGTAAACCTGTTACAATAACATCTATCATTGTTTTGTAGTCTATTGATTTGTTTATATCTAGTATAAGTCTTTCCTTTTTTTAAAGCATAATCAATTAGTGTTCCTTCTTTATATCTGAATGTGAGAGCATATGTGACTACGTCCCATCCTTGGTGTTTAAAAGTTTCCAAAAATTTGTTTTTCCATTCATTTCATTCAGCCTTTATAGTAAGTTTGATGACCATCAAGCTATACCAATCCAAACATGATTTTTCTAAAAACAACCTTAATATATCTATTTTTGTTTCATCTTTTAATATGTTGGAGCGCTCACACTCTTTTTCAAAATTCTCAATCCATTGCATTGCATTATAGTTCTTGCTTGTGAATTTGTCAATAATAAACTTTTCTGAAATGTGTTTCAGGTTAAGATTTTTTTTTTCTTTGTAGTGATTTCTATTAATTTTTCCAAGATATGTTGCAAATTGTAATTTTTATCTATTCTTTGTTTTGTACTCATTTCTTCTAGATATTGATCTAAAAACTGTATATTATCTTCCTCATCTATATAGGTTTTCTTAAGATTCTCGTCCAACTTTATCCATATTTTTCTACTTTGACGCCTTTTCTTAATAGTATTTTTTATTTTGGAGAATGTGTTCATTTTCATAATATATGTATGGTGAATCACCGGCTTTAGTTCGTCAGGTAAAACATAACATTTTCCTTTTTCTGTAGTTATTGAGGTTATGGCTAGCACGTTAGATTTGCCCTCATTTGAGGCTATCATCGTAAACTCAAATTGCAGCCGGTCCATCTTTTTTTACTTTACAAAAATGTCGTTTTATAAGGAATGTTATCAAGGGCATTCAAAGCAAACCACAATTTGTTTCTCTGAAAATACAAAGATTTATTTTACTGGACACGCCTTTACCATATTTAAGTATATAACGCCTTTACAATATTTAAGTAGTTTATTTATGACAATTACACTTTACCTGAAAATACAAAGAAACGACATTAAAGTCCATTTATATCGCCTCCCCAATTGTATCCGTTAGTTTATCTCTCTACACGTTTTAATAATCATAAAGTGCACAAAAACTTAAACATAATTCGCCATTAGTGAATAGTGACGAGTCTCTGGTCGACAAGGTACAAATTTAATGAAATTCCATTTCATTACAAACATAAATACACTTTCAGTTGGTCGAGTGGAAACGCGTCCGACGAGTAGAACGAGCCCGCAAGGAAGCTCTCGACGAACAACTGAGTTATATCGTGGACCGGACCGAGCGCTACTCGCGACAGCTGGCGGCCAACCTGGGCGCGCCCGCCACCACCCCCGCCGCCACCCCCGCCGCCCCGGACACACCGCCCTCCGACGACGAGTTCCAACCGAGAGGTGACTCCGACGACGACGAAGAGACCATAGCAGCCGCCGAGAAGGAAGCCGCACACGACGCCGCGGACCATAGGGACGAGCTGGAGGCGCTGCGGCGGGAGTCCGATCTCGACCTCGGCGACCTGCTGCCCCCGGGGTACGTGCCGGCACACTCGCCGCCGCCCTCCGACTACGGACCCGACGACGACTCCGCCGACGACGAGGACACCATCGCGGAGCAGGAACAGAACGAACGGCCCGAGGACGCCGCCGCCGAGCTGGACGCGCTCAGGAACGACGCGCAGCTGGACGTGCACGAGCTGCTCGGGAGATACGCGGCCGACGACGGGGACGGCTCTACGGACACGGAGCGGGGCACGGACGACGAGGACGGGCCGGAGGACATGAGTAGCGACGAGTCCGCTGACTCCGAGCAGCTGGGAGCGCTCATGGAGACGGACGACATGAAAGAGGAGGCGAGTGGGGACGAGCCCCCTGCGGAGGGAGAGCAGCGCGTGGAGGCGGCCGCCTCGCTCGCCGCCTCGCTCCAACCGACCGGCACCACGCTGTCGGAGACGGCCGTGGCGACGCCCGTGCCGGGGCTGCTGCGACACTCGCTGAGGGAGTACCAGCACGTGGGCCTCCACTGGCTGGCCACCATGCACGCGCGGGGACTCAACGGCATCCTGGCCGACGAGATGGGGCTCGGCAAGACCATACAGACCATCGCCCTGCTGGCGCACCTCGCGCTCGACCGCCGGGACTGGGGGCCGCACCTCGTGGTCGCGCCCACCTCCGTCGTGCTCAACTGGGAGATGGAGTTCAAGAAGTGGTGTCCGTCCTTCAAGATACTCACCTACTACGGCACCATCAAGGAGAGGAAACTGAAACGTGTCGGTTGGACCAAAACGAACTCGTTCCACGTGTGTATAACCTCGTACAAACTGGTAGTTCAGGACCATCAGAGTTTTCGTAGGAAGAAGTGGAAGTATCTCATATTAGACGAGGCTCAGAATATCAAAAATTTTAAATCTCAGAGATGGCAGATGTTACTGAATTTCCAGACAGAAAGGTAAACTATTTAGGTAATGCATGAAACGTTATGACCCATTATTAGTTTAATAGAGATATAATATGTTAAAAAAAAAAATAACTCGCCAAAGAAACCAATAAGACGTATCTGATACGGTAAGAGGAACCGACGTGATGATCGTTCATCTAACTTGCAGACGTTTACTGTTGACGGGCACGCCGCTACAGAACAGTCTGCTGGAGCTGTGGTCGCTCATGCACTTCCTCATGCCGGACGTGTTCGCCTCGCACTCGGAGTTCCGCGAGTGGTTCGCGCCCGTCGCCGGCATCGCGGAGGGCTCGCACCGGTACAGCGACGAGCTCGTTAGGAGACTGCACGAGGTGCGGCCGTGAAGGACGCCGGCTGAACTAAACTAAACTAGGCCGCTGGGACGATGAACTGATAACGCTCATTTCATTCGCAGGTTCTGCGACCTTTCCTACTGCGGCGCCTGAAGGCGGACGTGGAGCGACAGATGCCGCGCAAGTACGAGCACGTGCTCATGTGTCGACTCTCCAAGAGGCAGCGGTTCCTCTACGACGACTTCATGTCCCGAGCGAAGTAAGTGTTGGAATTAATATCAAAATAATAGATTTTTTTTTAATCTGTCAACATCTATGATGACATGTGAATGTGGATTTTCTGTAATTAAAATTTAGTCGTTCAACCGCGTGTAAAAAGTGTATTTCAGTAGCTTATGGGCCCAGCGCACCTCTATACTTTCGTTAAAAGTAGTAATTTAGTGTCGAGAAGTAAGTTTCGGACTTATTGAAGTTATAATTGTATCGATCGTGTTATCCAGTGAGTTAACTAACGGGGATGGCATCGAATTACCTAGTCAACGTGCCCAAACTGAAAGGCAGAAAAAATTCCTCAGAATGGGTTTTCTAGTCCTGGAGGATATGGTGCATTGCATCAGGCCAATATCTGGGAAGACGATAGAAGCTGCAGAAGATGAGAAAACAAAGGCAAAGCTTATCATGACTATAGACAGCGCCTTGTACGAGCATATCAAGGCAGTCAAAACATCGTCAGAACTTTGGAACAAGCTTAAGTCATAATTTGATGATTCCGGATTTTCGCGAAGAATATCTCTTGCGAAATCTTATTTCAATACGGTTGTTATACACCAAAGAAGTAATCCGTACACACCCGAGCAGAATGGTGTATCGGAACGGAATAATCGTACTGTGATTGATAAAGCAAGATGCTTATTATTTGATGCAAAGTTAGGGAAAGAGTTCTGAGCAGCGGCGACACCTACTGCTGTATACCTACAGAATAGAACAGTACTTCCATTATTGAATAATAAGACTTCATTTGAAGTCTGGTTTGGACATAAACCAAATGTGAGCCATCTCAGAATCTTAGGTAGCAGTGTGATGGTACATGTGGCAAAGGCAAGACGTCAGAAATTGGACATGAAAGCTGAAAAACACATTCTTGTTGGATATCCTGATGGTATCAAGGATACAGGATATATAATCCAAGGACAAAGTGTATCACAACTAGCCGAGAGGTCATTGTCATGGAAGAGGATCAACATCCAGATATCACTATCCCAGTTATTGACAGTGAGAGAAAGGAAAACTCATGTTCAGTGGAAGACATAGACATATCAGTGGAGACATCAACATTAGAAAATGTTACCGGTGCAGATGAAACCACAATAACTGATGAAACACTAGGTTTGTCGGATGAAGACTATATTCCAAGTGATTACAAAGATGCTTCTGATTTGCTGGCACGTCCCAAGTCTACCAAGTTAAAGAAAAAACCTGAAAGGTACATAGTGACTAATATGTGTGTCCCTGAGGAGTTTGATGATCCCAATGGTTTGTCAATAGAAGAGGCTTTACAAGGAGAAGAAAAGGACCAGTGGTTGTCAGCGGTAAAAGAAGAACTTCAGTGGTTTTAAGGATAAAGATTCTTGGGAGTTGGTAAATAGGCCTAAGAATGGTGAAACTATAGTGAAGTGTAAGTGGGTTCTTAAAAAGAAGTGTGATTCAGAAAATAATGTGCGTTATAGAGCTAGGCTTGTAGCTAAGGGGTGTTCTCAAAAGTATGGTGTGGACTATTATGAACCATACTCACCAGTGCTTTGTTACTCTACATTAAGACTCTTATTCGCTTTAAGTGTTAAACTTAACTTTCAAATTACTCACTTAGATTTAATAACAGCATTCCTAAATGGTTACCTACATGAAAATGTATACATGCAAGCTCCACCCAATTTGAATTGTAAAGAAAATTGTGTTCTCAAACTCAATCAAGCAATTTATGGTCTTAAACAATCAGCTAGGGCATGGAATGAAAGAATAAATGATTGTTTATTAAAGTTAAATTATATAAATCTAAGTTAGAACCATGTTTATATACTAAAAAAATGCAAAAAGGAGCAGATTATAGTAGCAATTTTTGTTGATGGTGTTTTCATTTTTTCAAACAGTAGTAATATGGTTAGAGAATTAAAAACTAATCTAATGTCAAAATTTAAAATTAAAGACCTAGGTCCTAGGGCAAGTAAAACAGTGTTTGAGTATGAGGGTCAAGATGTATGAAAATGGCTGTATTTCCTTGGATTAAGTAAAATTTGTAGATCATATATTCAGTAAGTTTAATATGTCAAATTGTAAAGTTGTTGATACTATTATTGAATGTAACCTAAAATTAAAAAACAAGTGTAGAAATTTGTAGACAATATCCATATCAACAACTAATAGGCAGCCTGATGTACTTAAGTGTTTTAACACATCCAGACATTTCCTACAGTGTGAGCTATTTGAGCCAATTCAATAATTGTTATTCCTATACACATTGGAAGCATGCAAAACGTATCCTAAGGTATTCATGTAAAACTCAATCATATGGGCTTGTGTTTAGCAAAGATAATTGTAGATTGGAAGGTTTTGTTGATGCAGATCGGGCCTCAAACACTCTAGATAGGAAATCCTATACAGATTACTTCTTTAAATTCTCTGGAACTGTTATTTCATAGGAACGTAAAAAACAATGCACTGTAGCCTTGTCAAGTACAGAGGCATAATATATGGCGATAGATGAAGCCTGTAAAGAGGCGATTTATTTAAGAAACTTCTTTTTTGAAATTGTAAATGGTTTTGATTATGTCATCACATTATATAATGATAACCAGGGTACTCAGAAGTTGACTGAGAACCCATTGTTTCACAAAAGAACCAAGCACATAGATATGCGTCAACATTTTGTTAGAGAAGCAGTTGCTGCTAATCTCACTAAGATAGTTTACATTCCGACAAATGATGCCAGCAGACCTTCTAACAAAGAGATTAAATAGAGTAAAACATAACTATTTTATAAATAAACTAGGTATGCAAGGCATTGTTTAATAACAGACTATGTAATAAATAAAAGACAAACAAAACATCTTTTATTTATTACATTTTTTTTTTGTTTGTTTAATAAATTTTGTGTAGAATATTTAGATTATTTTAAGTGGAGATGTTAGAATTAATATCAAAATAATAGATATTTTTTTAATCTGTCAACATCTATGATGACATGTGAATGTGGATTATCTGTAATTAAAATTGAGTCGTTCAACCGCCATTACAATTAAAACGTGTATTTCATTAGTAAGTCTCGCGGACGCCCCCCGCCCGCCTACACGGACCGGTGGAATGAACCTCTGCTTATTTCTGTTCCACAGAACGAAAGAGAGCCTCGCTTCGGGCAACCTGCTGAGCGTCATCAATGTCCTGATGCAGCTCCGCAAGGTGTGCAACCATCCCGACCTGTTCGAGCCGCGGCCGGTGTCGTCTCCGCTCCAGCTGCCGGCGCTGTCCTACAACGTGCCGGCCCTGGTGCTCGTGGCGGACGTGGCGCGGCGCGTGGAGCTGGCCGCGCGCCTGGGCGGGGACCTCGCCACGCTCGAGCTGACCGGGGCCGGCGCCTTCGCCGCCCACCGCGCCCGCCACCTGGCTCCGCCGCGGCGCCTCATCGAGGAGCTGCCGGACCCGCCCCCGCCGCCTGCCCCGCGCCCCCCGCCCTCCGCCCTGCGACTGCACCTGCGCCTCGTCCCCCGCGCGCCGCCCTCGCTCCGCGTACCGCTCGCCGCGCCGACGTCGACGCCCACCGTGACGGCGGTCCGCACGCCGTCCTCCCGAGCGCCGCCCCCCCCGTCGGCCGCCCCCCTCCCCTCCCCGCGCGGCTCGTCCGCCCGCTTGTCCGCTCACCGTCGCTCCAGCCTGCGCCGCCTGGCCGCGGTCAACGAGCGCCGCTGCTGGCGCCTGCCCCTGTTCGGCGCGGACCTGCGCGCGGCGGTGTGCGCGGGTCCCCCTCCCCTGCCGCCGCGGGACATCTCGGACGTGCTCCGCGACCTGCATGACGTCATCGACAGGTTTGCTATGTTCATTTCTTTCTTCTGTTTTGACAAGCGAGTATTCCCATTAAAGGGTGACGATATAAAATTATTTGTAACATGTATCCTCCCCCTCCCCCACCCCGCCATTCCTCCCCGGTCGATCCTCTTAATATGAAGAATAACACTTGTTTTATATGTTCATAATCAATTTTTATTAAGGACTACACTTTTTACAAAGCACACCATTTTTCATTTATAAAAAAATAGACAGGCATATGAAAGACAAACGTACAATAACTACCATAGAGAACATACAGTATTGCTAATATAAATGTAGTATTTATTTATTACCAACAGATCCGCTCCCAGTACGTGTTGTACTTCTCTCGGTTGCTTTACAAAACTCCACTCCCAAGTGCTGTGTGGGTTAATCTTTCTTGTTATGTAATGACAGGCCATCATTATAGGATCATTACCACATACATTCAATGTTCGCTGAAGTTAAACAGAGAAATAATTTCTTATCACGACCTGGTAACTGTCAGGGATCTTTTACATCTTTACTGACAGTTTTGTCCCTGTCACTTTCCTTTTCACGTTTCACTCGGTTTTCTAACCTAACCCAATATGACCATATATTAATGTTATTAATTTTAAAAAGAACATCGGTTAATACAGTTGACGGATGTCTTTGATTAAATATAAACCGATGCGATAGACTGCTAAATCGTCAACGGGAATTAACATTTAATTAAAAGTCGTCCCCGAGACGTGACGGTCTCTGACAGAAAAATTCACCTGCAGGTTCATGATCTGCTGGTCGTCGTGTCGGGCGCGCGGGCTGCAGATGTGGGCGGGCGCGGGGGAGGGGGCGCGCGCGTGGCGGCGGGCGGCGCGACCCACCGAGGCCGCCCTGCGAGCCGCGCGCGCCGCCCTCACCCTGCTCCACGTGCCGGCCGCTCGCGCTGCAGTCGCCTTCCCGCACCCGAGACTGCTGCAATACGACTGCGGTGAGTCGACTCGCAGAACAAAAGTGATTCTTACCTGTTTTGTGAAATCTTCATATCGAAAAGCCGGTGGAGGCTATTCGGGTTCCGTTCTGTCTGACGCTACGGTCGTCCGTCCTCAGGCAAGCTGCAAACGCTGGACGGTCTGCTGAGACGACTGAAGGCGGGCGGACACCGCGTGCTGATCTTCACTCAGATGACGAAGGTGCTGGACGTGTTAGAGGCGTTCCTCTGTATGCACGGCCACGCCTACCTCCGCCTGGACGGCGCCACCCGCGTGGACCAGCGCCAGCCGCTCGTGGACCGTTTCAACGCGGACCCGAGAATATTCGCTTTCATCCTGTCCACGCGCAGCGGCGGCGTCGGCCTCAACCTCACCGGGGCGGACTCGGTGGTGTTCTACGACTCGGACTGGAACCCCACCATGGACGCGCAGGCGCAGGACCGCTGTCACCGGATCGGACAGACGCGGGACGTGCACGTGTTCCGGCTCGTCACCACCGCCACCGTGGAGGAGAACATCCTGCGCAAGGCCGAGCAGAAGAGGACGCTCGGACACCTGGCCATCGAGGACGGGCACTTCACCACCTCCTACCTGCGAGCGGTGAGTGCGCTTATAGGCTCCTTCGTTCCTTTACATTTCTCGAGGCGTTTCAATAACTTGTTCGACCGCTCCTACAGGCCAACATCAAGGAATTGTTCGGAGCGGAGACCGAAACGACGGCCGGACAGAAGGAGTGCGAACCGGCAGAGGGCGGGGAGTTGGAGTCCGCCCTCGCCGCCGCGGAGGACGAGGCGGACGCCGCCGCCGCACAGGCCGCCAGGGCGGAGGCTCAGGGGGACCTCGCGGAGTTCGACGAGAACGTGCCGCTGGATGACGACACGCGCGCCGCCTCCCCGGGACACGCGCCGCACGAGGAGCGGGGGGAGCTGGCCGCGCTCATGAAACAGGTGGGCACGAGACCAAGTATCTCGAGAGATTTGATTTTGGACCATGTTAATAATAATAAAAACTTTATTACTTCAGATATGTCGTACATTAATACGTAACTTTTAAGAAAAACATACATATTATATGAGATACAAATTATTCATACTGGAAAAGAAAAATTCTTAATTTAAAACTCGTTTTCATTGACGACCGTATCGCAATTGGTTACGAGCTCGGCTATGTACTGTGCTATGCCCAGCGCTGATTATCAGCTTGCTCCTTCTACATAATGTTGACTTAGTTAAAAGCGCCGCACCGTTCCGTAACATATTAAAGTGATACAAAAAAAACTGATACAAAAGCAAGTAAAAAAGATACCGGTGAAAATATTATAAAACACAAGAAGAAGTAAATAAACTATTTCTCCAGTTTATAATTACATTTTAAAACTAAACATTGAAATAACGATCAAAACTTAATACACGCACGCACATCTTCGCATCATAACAACCATAACTCTTATGTGTACATCATGCCTACGACAATTGAAACTATGATGAAATAAAAATAAAGAGTCGTCTAAGTTTTTAAGATTCTTTTCTTTCATATTTTGCTTCATTCGCATTTATTTATAAAGTTGTTTTTCTTACGTAGCTGCTTCTACTTGTAGACGTAGGTAATATTCTTTAAGGTGTTTTTTTAAAGTTACAATTGAAAAATGACGATCACGTAGGGGAGGTGGTAGGTTATTCCAAATTTTTGCTGCAGCATATTTGAAAGCACCTTTAAACCCTGCAGTTTTATGTTTAGGAATTAATCATAAACAGTCAAGCTTTTGATATAAGTAATTTGTTTTTTTGCTGCGCACAATTTTATGTAAAGATACTGCTAGATGAAGGTTACTACGTGATTCCATGTTTAAAATATTGTGACAATTAATGAAAGGAGATATATGTGACCTCTTAGATACGTCAAAACAAAACCTAGAGCAAGCATTTTGAACTCTTTGTATAGCTTTTTCTGTCTTTTTCAATAATCTGGGACCATACACTGTGTCAGGGTAATTAAAAATCGATAAAATAAGTGACTCAATCAAGGTAACTCTCACTTTCTCAGACATGAAAGGTCTTAAGCTATATAGACCTTTAAATTTATAAAAAGCATTTTTTATTTTCCGATTTAGATGTTCTATAAATCTGAGATTTTCGTCAACGTATAGACCAAGATTTTTAGCAACTTTTACTTGTTCTAAAGATTCATTGCCTATTTTAATCTGTAGGTTATGTCCCTTAATACATTCACGTTGATGTTTGCTACCCAGTATCATATATTTTGATTTATTCACATTAAGAACTAAATTATTTTTTTCCGACCACTGAGATATATGTTCTAAATCATTATTTATAAAATTTACTGATTTTTTTGTTTTTCTTGGATCAAAGTGTAGATCTGCGTACTGATTACTGATTACAGCTATTTAACTCGCGACTTAAATCCACTGTAATTATGATAAAAAGGATTGGACTTACACTTGATCCTTGTGTATTAGATTTAATGTGCGAAATCAGCGGTTCCTTTTGTTCAGAACTTTCTATCGAAACATACTGTGTTCTTCCCTTTAAAAAAGACATTGACCATTTACAAGCATTGTTGGATATTCCATAGTAATATAATTTTGCCAACATAAGTTCAATATTTATACAATAAAAGGTCTTGAAAAATCTAATAAAACGTGTATACTTTCGTTACCATTATGTGAAGCCGAAAGAATATCACCTGTTACTGCTGATAACGCAGCGGCCGGTTCCATGAGCTTTTCTAAAGCCAGATGTTTTAGAAGTATGTTATGTGTTTCTAAATAGCTAGTTAGTTGCGTACATACGATCTTTTCTAGAATTTTTGACATAACCGGAAGAATGCTGATGGGTCTTAGATCTTTATAGTTTTCTACTGATGTGACTTTTGGTATTTTCCATGAGTCTGGAAACGTGTGTGTTTTGATAGATTGATTAATGATATAGGTAATGATATCAAGCGTAACAGGCAAAGTTAATTTTATCATAGTTATTGAAATGTCATCATGCCCAATTGCATTGTTCTGTTTGTTTCTGCTCAGTTAACGCCGGTGGAGAAATACGCGATGAGACTGGTGGAGAGCAGCGAGGCGGCCACCGAGGCGGAGCGAGCCGCGCTCGGGGAGATGAGGAGGCAGCTGAGGGAGTGGGAGCAGGCGAGGCGCGCGCTCAGGGACGAGGGAGGGGAGCTGCAGCGGGACGACGAGCAGGAACACGACCTGGAGCTCACCTACAGCCGCGAGGACGCCCGCACCGAGGTGCGTGTCCGCCCGCGACGACGACGAACCAAACCGGCCCCGCCGCCCCCGCCCTCTCCTCCTCCGTCCCCCCCCTCGGCCGCGCCCCTGCCGCCACCCCCCGCCCCCACCGCGCCACGGACGCGGTCACGGGGCACCGTACACATCAACCTTTGGACGCTGGACGAGACCCGCTCGACCGCGTCGGGAGGGGCCGCGGTCGTGGAGGGTGGACGGCGCCGTGCTCTGCGCAACGGAACCCTCGACTCTTGGCTCGCCGGCACACCCGACCGACAGAATAATAAATGATTTGAAACACTAAACTTGCGTTTTATATTTCTGACGTTCGACGTTTTGGTGCCGCTCGATACTCGTTCGTGAATGCTTGATCGACCTCGCTCTCCGCTCGGTGTTATTGCGAGACGCCACCAAAACTTCGACGCCGCCGCGAACGTCAGGGATATAAGGCGTGCAAGCATTTACGTGCGAGACCGAGCGGGCCTCCCCCTCCCGCGACTACGACCGGTGTCCGTTACATTAGTTAGGAAAGAAATCGGTTGAGATAACATCGGTCTGCTTGTAATATGCGAAATTATTAAAAACGGTTATTTTTATCAGTACATATATCATATATATTGATATATTCTTTATCAGTACTCATATATATAAAAAAAACTTGTGAAAAAAAAATATTTTAATCACGGGTGATAAAATCCGAACCGCAGATCCTTTCATCGTCTATTTATATATTTATTAATTTTCAACAAGCACACTTACAACATACATATTGAATATTTACAGTTAGTGACTTTATTAAAACATCAGATATGTACGTCAATGACAAGTGTACATACCTTTTACTAACTATAAACAGTGCACGATTAAATAGTTTACATACTAATTTAAAGATAAAATGAAAAAATCACGTAAAAATCACAAAATAAAATAAAGAATAATAATAAATAAATTACTATATAAACTTAGGAAAACTAACTTAGAAAAAAATAGTCAATAATTTTTTGTTTAAATACATAAAATAAATCTATGCAGGGTGTTCTAAAAACTGTGTAAAACCTTGAAGGCATGTATACATATAAGTATAAGCTTATTATAAAAAATAATATAACTTAAAAAATATCAAGCAAAGGTCAGTTATAGTGCATAGGCTAAATAAGTTTTAAATCGACATTATTTGAAAAAATGTTCCAAACATCTGACCCATACAAGGTCAAGGCACCGTATAGTCGCGACGGCGCATGCGTGGCCATTCACCGCAGGCGCCGGGCCGCCGGCGTTATTATTACTATTTTGTTAGTTTTTCGAATAGAGATTTGCAAGTTTAAAAATTAGGTGTATCGATAAATATTCTATCGATATTTTCAATACAGTCAATCTGGGTAACTTTGACAGGAAAGGGTGATATTTTATACTATATTTAAAAAAATTAAACCTATCACTCGATTGTTTTTATTTTATCAGTGCTCTCGTATTACTTTCCGTTTCTAGACATTCACAAAAAGCTTATAAAACATACCAATATAGTATAAAATCTCAATTCTGTGTGTGTCAAAGTTACCCTCTTAAGTTGGGTAACTTTGACACACACACAGCCATGCATAAAAAACTAGTTATAAGTGTTATTTTTATCAATCTGGGTAACATTGGTGTATATATTTATTAACTAATGGATGCATGTGACGCAATAAAACGACCATTTTACAGTTTTGTCTTATATTAAAAACAAATATGAAGAATCAGTCTACAACATTTGGCAATGTTACACACATTTTTTAACACCATCAAAAACACTTAAAAAACTCCTTTAATTAAACATTTTTATTCAAATTAAAAAGAAAAAAAGCAAATATAATTAAAACAAACAAACATTTTGTAAAATCTTGAGCCTAAATTGTCTATTCTCCCCACTCCATACAGAGCAAATCGTCATTAATTGTGTAGAGCCCAGGCTGTTTTATACTGATGTTACTGTTATCTACTGGAGATACAACATTATCATATTTAATTTTAATAATTTCTCTTTTATCTGGTCATTTCCAACCACCTTGTGTTGATCTACTCATGACAACAAGTGTATATATAATACGGGAGTGTGAAACTTGTCACTTTTCCTGGACACAGTGTACGTTCTATTTAAATATAACTGTTGTTCCAGGTGAGAACTCGACATATTTTGATGTTCATGTTGCAAAACTCCATCTTTAACAACACTTTCTTCAATCACCTGTTCTACCACCTCTTCCTCCACCATTTCAGTTTCTATGTAAGGTTAAATTTGACACTCAAAGTTAACCAGTTTGTGTTCAAAATACGTATCTTCATATTTATACATGAAATTTTAAAATAAGACGTAACTATATGCTAATTTTTCATGAAAATTTGGTAGTAAAATCACAATTGGCTCTGTATAACATCTCACTTACCTTATCAGCAACCAAAATCACAAAATATTCAAATTATATAATCAGTTATTCAACCTAAAATAAATTCGCGCGCTATATTCAGAAAAAAAGTTTTGACTTATTTTTTACTTTCATAACTTACTTTTATTTAGATACGTTTAGGAAACTTGTTTAAAATCGCAAATCTAAAATAAATATATATGAATAGTGTTGGTTTCATGCGAAAAAATAATCGAAACTAATTCATGGTCCCGCTGTCAAAGTTACCGATGAATCAAAGTTACCCAGATTGACTGTATTGCTATAAATAGTTATTTTTTTCAAATTAAAATAATTTCATTTAAAAGAACTTTTATAAATAATAAATATTATTAATCAATATATTAATTTGGAACTTCGTCAGGTAAATTAACTATGTTGTATTATTAGGATAAATCGTTAATCTATTTCTGTTAAAAATGGTGTTTTACAATGAAAAATAATACTAATGTTTGATATATTAAAATAAGTATCGAAATAATATGAATATTAAATATTTATTTATTGTTATGTTTTTTTAAATATCGATATTTTCAATAATGTGAAAGTAACTTCGAGTTCGTCACTACTGGCGCAGCAGGTGTGATGACGCCATTGAGTCTCATCGTGTTATACCAACATTTGGCTACTCTACATATAATAATCATTTAATATTTAATTTTATTATTTTTATTGAAGAGTTTGTAAATGTAAGTTGTTTGATTGTGTTCCATTTTCGATACTGATAACGCAGTTAAGAGGGTTCACACAGTTTTTAGAACACCCTGTATAATATTAACATCACTTTTACCGAACATTGTCACGAGGTAAGTGCAGTTCACCGGTGACTCCGTTAGGATCGGTCGCCCTGTAACAGAACACACACTCACCCAGCCGTCGTTTTTTACAGATATGGATCGACGGCAACGGAGCGGCGGAGCGCATGCCGGTGAGTAGACGGAGGAGCTCGGCGGCGAGGAGGTAGAGAGGAGCTAGCTTTAATAGGATCGCTCTCCCGCAGATGTGGTGTCCGCCCACCCCGCCCTCCAGCGACGGAGACGTGTACTGCGACAGCTGGGCGCGGGCCCTCTACCGGCGGGGGGCCGCGGCCGACGCTCTCCTCCCGCCCGTCCGCTGGAGAGACTCCCGAGCCCCGCGCTCCCCGCGCCGCACCCGGCCGGCGCCCCGCTCCGCACACGCTCCTCCTTCGTTGTTCGACCGCGGCGGCCCGCGCCCCCGGCCCCGGCTCCGCGCGCCCCCCGCCCCGCCCAGGGACCACGTCACTCCTCCGCCCGACTGGGCTCCTTGCGAGGACGCGGCTCTGAGGAGGGCGCTCCGTCTGCAGCGCTTACCGCCGGAACCTCCGGCCGCTCACGCTCCCAACTGGGACTGGCTCGCCGACCTGGTGGGGGAGGTCGCTCGAGCCTACCGGTCGCCCCGCTCCTGTCGCGATCGTCACGACGCGCTCGCCGACCCGGAGCGCGCGCGCCGCAAGCATCGGAAACCTCCGCCGGCGCGACGTCGGCCGGACGATGACGCCCCGCGCCCGCCGCTACAACGACTCGACGCGATGCGGGAAGCCGCCGAGCGACGCCGCGCGGCGCCCAAGCGACGCCTGGACGACGCCTCCCACCACAACCCCAAGCACGCCGCGCTGCTCGCCGACCACGGAGTTGACTACGAAACTCCTCCCTCACCGATGGAGGTGGCCACGCGACGAGCGGAGCGCATCGCGAAGGAGAAGATGAAGGTCGGCGCCAGCGCTGCCAGCGCCGGGAACGTGCCGCCGCCGGCCGCCGCCGCCGCCGCGCCTCCGCCCGTCACCGCACAGCGTATAGTGGTGGCGGCGGCCGGCGCACAGCCCGCGCCCGGCAAGCCGGAGGTCCGCCGCCCGCGGCCGGGCGAGGCGCCGCGCGCTCCCGCACCCGCCGCGCAGCTGCTGTACCGGCAGCAGACGCTCGCCGGCAGACACCATCTGAAAATATTACACCACGCGACACCCACACAGGCGCAGGTAGGATCTTGACAGAATCCTCATTTATTTTGTATTCATACTAGAATTTCAAAATTTCTATGAAATGTTAGGTTGTTCCTTGAGTATTTGTAACTTTTCGATAAACCGTTTCATCATATCAGTATTAATCTAATAATTATTTAAGAATGGCCGTTAAAACGAAAAAAAAAATCAGTTATGCTCATTGAATTACCTTAAATCAATTGGTAAGCAAATGGAAACCGTCAAAGGCCCCGGTTAATGAAGTAACTCTCACATAAAAACAGAATAAAACATTATAAAAAATATTTTCAGTAGTGGCCTAGCGGTTAAAGGCCCGGCTCTCGTGCACGAGGGCGTGGGTTCGATCCTGGCAACTACCAATGTGATTCTTCCGAGCCATATGTACTTTCTGTGAATATTTAGACACCATTGATAAACGGTGTAGAAAAACATCGTGAGGAAATCTGGTACTTATAAGTTATAATTGTGAAATTATAAGTCCAGGTTTCCTCAAGCCGTTTACCCGTCTTGAGCAAGCGTATTGATTATTGCTCAAATGGAGAAGCATCTGAGTAGAGGCTTTTGTTCAGCAGTTAGATAGGCCGTTAACGAGTATAAAAAAAAGGAAAACAAAAGGAACAACCTGACAAAAAATAGTAGTAACAAGTAGACGGGTGGCGTGTGACGTGTAGCGTGTGTCCGCAGGGAGTGTCAGTGAGCGCGGCGGGCGGCACGCTGCAGCTGCAGCAGCTGGCGCTCCGCCGGCCGCGCGCCCCGCCGCCCGCGCCGCACCTGGTGCTGGCCCACCTGGCGCCCGCACCCGCGCACCCTACACCCTCCACACCCTCCGCACCCTCCACACCCTCCACACCCTCCGCACCCACACACCAGCATCCCTCCGACTCGCAACAATAAAGAGCCTCTTTACTTGATCGTTTCATTTTTATGACCCTCTATACGAGTTTCAAGGTACGTGCGTCTCATGAGGACTCATTTTTGCTATTTTCAAGTTTATGGACGATTATTAAATAAAATAAGATTCTTAGCAAAGCAATGGCTTGATTTTTTTTCTTTTCGAAACAACGTTTCCTCCTGGAGTGCAGTGTTTTAAAATAATTAGATTTGATGATGTTTGTAATAAACAGTACCCATAGGGGAAGTCCGGCCAAAGTGGACACTTTAACGTTTGATGAATTGTAGTAAGATAACCGACAGGCAGAGAAAAACAACAAATGTTCAATGAGAATAAATTTTTATTAAAAAATATATATAAAAATTAAAACAAAATAAAAAGCCCTTTATTTCCTATTCAAACAATTGTTACATTTGACTAAAACTATTCGACTATAACTAGATAAGCTATGATTAATTTACTCACTTTTATGTAGTCGTTTATTTTTCGTCATACTACGTTCCATACCCGTCACGTAGTTATTTTGCTTTTCACTCTATTTGTAAATTTCAAAGTTTGACACGCATATGTTAGGCATGGAATAAGACATGAATCCATTACCTTCTTTTTAAGTTCTATGGGCATATCACTTTTAAATATTTCCTTGAAGCTCCAGTTCTCTGTTCAGCTGTTTTTGACTCTCCTTTCTATTTCTAGTTCGTTACTATCCCTTTTGAAACTTATTTTTCTTTCCTAAATGAATATATTGTTCTACGTATTTTAATGTTTCGCAATCTCTTTTGTTATGTCCCTTTTAATATGGTTAGACATAGTTTTTGTTTTTGTGAGCTTCATTTCGAGACCAACTTTTTTGCTAGCTTTGTGGAGATCTATAATTTGTTGTAACTGAGAGCCCGTTTTAGATGACAACACCAGTTCGTCTGCGAATCTGAGGTGGCTTAGGTATTTATTTTCCTTTGATATAAAGCCCTTGGTTTCTCCAGTTTAGTTTTTGTATCATGGATTCTAGTATTGCAATAAAGATCCTGGGAGAGAGGGGGTCGCCTTGAAGGAAGCTTAAGCAATAGTTTCTAGTTTGACTCTAGTAGTACATTTGCTGTAGATATTTCTCAGGATCTCTGTGTATACTTCTTCCACATTTTGAGCTTTCAAAGTTTCTCATATGATTTCATGTGATACCGTATCAAAGGCTCTTTTGTAATCAATGAAAGCTATATATAAGGGCCTTTAGTATTCCTGATATTTTTCGATTGTTAACTCTTGTGTATGTACATATGTGATCTACGGTTGAGAATCCTTTTCTAAAACCAGCTTGTTCAATGGGCTGTTCTCTATCTAATGTAGTGCTTATTCTCTGGTTTAGTTGGCAGGAGGCTTATAGGTCTGTAGTTTATAATATCTTTATAATTTTTCTCCACATGTTCCATTGAGCAGCTAGTATGACATATGTAAGTTGTTTTTAGGGCATCATTTGTAATATTATCTGACCCTGGGCTTTTGTCCGATTTGAGCTTTTTAATGGACTCTATTACTTCTTCATATGTTATCGGTTCTATCTGCATTGTTTAGGTGGGTTCTTCGTAGAGTCATATAAGCATTGTTGGGTTTTCTTTTCGAAGCATAAAGTTGCTTGTCTAAATCTGATACAACATTTAGAATGTCTTTACGGCTGTATGTAATTTTTTCCGCCGCTTTTATTCCTTCAATCCATGTTCTTTTTGACTGTAATTCTTTATAGCTTTTTTTCTAACTTCCTTTTAATTCCAGATGTTTTTTTATGATGTCGTTTCTTTGTTTCTTGTAGTCTTATTTTATACATATGCTTACAAGTTTATACAGAGCTTTAAGTTGATTTTTCATCGCTCGAGTTTTATTGCTAGTTTTCTTTTTATAAGGTTTTTTGTGCGCTCTGATAATATGCTTCGGCCTTTTTGTTTTTGATTTTTGTCCCATGCTCTACGTAATAATAATAATAATATTTATTTGCTCTCAATGTAGGTACAGAATATAGGTGTATAAATAGATTTTAGTATAAGTTCCAGTACATTATACCTTAAGGCATGCAAATATTATTCTTAAATTATAAATTAAAATTAGAAATTAAATTAACAATGCATATATAATTATAAATTCATATTGAATGTTTTACAGATGAAAATTAACAATGATAGATAGATAGATGATCAAGTTATATATTTTTTACATTTTTTATTCATCAATTTCTTACAGCATTATGTCTTGTCCATCAGATAATCATTTACGGAGTAATAACACTTGTTGACTAGTAAAAAATACAAAAGTTTTTTAAATTTTACATAAGTCTTTTATGTTATTCGGTATTTTGTTGTATATAATAGGGGCCATGGTCAATATGTTCCTTCTCAATAAAGCAGTTTTATAATTGCCTGTACTTAAAAGATATATAAACAGGGAAATGTTAAAAGCTTAAATAAATAAATAAAAAGCCTTTTATTTCCTACTCATAAGTTTTACAGTTTCACTTTCAAAATTTAAGTACTAAATTATATTCTTAACCTAAAACATGTTTAATATAATATTTATACATATGTTGAAATCTACGTTTATTTATTACTTTTGAACCACATTTGTTTTCTTTTAAATAGAGTTTAGGTACATATTTTTCTTTTTTATATATATTTGAGCTGTATACATATTTATTTAGCAGGAACCCCATTTTTGGGTGAAGGCCTCCTCCAAAGCTGTCCATTTTTCCCTGTTCTGTGCAACCTGCTTCCAGTTTGGGCCGGCTGTCTTTATGATCTCGTCTTCCCAGTGTGTCAGTGGTCTTCCTCTGTTTCTTTTACCCGGTGGGCCTTTCCAAAAGGTTACTTTTTTAGTCCACCTCTGATCTCTAAGTCTTGCGACATGTCCAGCCCATTTCCACTTTAGTTTTTGTGCGTAATTTAGTGCATTTGTTGCCTTAGTTATTTCACTTATTTTTGTGTGTCGTATTTTGTCTAGTTTCTTTATTTTTAACATGCTACGTTCCAGTGATCTTAGACAGGTGGTGATTAGGTTTTTTATTTTTGAAGTAAACTTCCACGACTGGCACCCATACGTCAAACTTGGTACGAGATTGGTATTCATTACTTTTGTTTTAAGGGAAATAGAAAGGTTATCACTTTTAAAAATTTCCTTTAAACTCCAATATTTATTCCACGTTTGTTGTATTCTTCTTTTCACTTCCAGTTCGTTGTTTTTCCGATCAAAACTTATTTGCTTCCCTAAGTATATGTATGAGTCTGTATAATCAAGTTAAAAGCTTATATTTCCTAAAAATCGGTTTACAGCTGTCCGTGACCTTCAAGTTGAAAATAGATCTAAGACATCGTTTTTGATCCTTAAAAGTACTCTCCTTTTGACAACAGTTACCCCAGTATATAATGCCAAATCTTAAAAAAGAAACAATTAGAATGGTATTAACATTAACTTTTTTAGCCAAATTATGTAAAGCGTATGCTGAAACGTTAAGTTTTTTGCAAATTTTTTCTGCTTGAGGTTTCCATGTTAGTTGACTATCTATCAATATACCAAGAAATTTAGCAACATTAATCTGTTCAATCCTTTGATTACTGTAGTTTATTTTTAATTCATGAACTTGCGATCTACTAACGTAAGCTAATCTGTATGGAGTTTACTAATTTATCGTGATAATTTTGTATCGTATCTTCCAAATTCGGATCTAGTAACTCAGGTAGCTACATGATTATTATTTAACGATTCTATATGCGAAGATATTTCTTGCTCAGTTTTCTATGTGCTGTATTTATTGTTAATATTACTGTAACTTACTCTACTTTTTATTGGTTTTATGAGTGTTATGGCGGCTCTGATTGGTCTATGGTCCGATGGGTAATTTAAGCTTAGGGTTTCAATATTCTGGATTATTTGTGGCCTGTTGGTCAGTATAAATTCACATAAATGTTGAAAATGAAACAAGGCACAGCCTTTTAATAAATGAAACGTTTTATATAATATTATGTTGAGAGAAACTGTGCTTTTATTTTCTTCGACTAAATTTTAGTATCATTTTGTTTGTGTACATTCATTGGTATCATTATCATCAGTACATTTTATTCTAAACTTATTTCTTTATTGTTAAAATTATAAATAGAGATAATGAACTTTAATAATCTTCTTCTTCTTCTTCTTCTATATATATAAAAATGGATTGCTGTTCCTTAGTCTCGCTAAAACTCGAGAACAGCTGAACGGATTTATCTTATCTTAGTCTTGAAATGTTTGTGGAGGTTCAGGGAAGGTATAAAAGCTGAAAAAAATTGATTCATTACTGGGAAAACCATAAAAACAGCCCTTTTCTATTTCCCATACAAACGTTTTCTTTGACATTAGATTTGACAACTAACTAATATGTCAATCATTCTGTTCGATTGAAACAGGAGAAACCTGATTATTATTAAGGGCCTCTAAAACGGAATAGAGTTCGCCCGGTCAGCTATACATATATTACTAATGACGAAACTAACGCGGACGAAGTCGCGGGCAAAAACTAGTAATGAATAAATATAAACATCTTTCAAATACAAAAATAAGTACAACTTGAAAAATCTTTCAAATACATGTACATTTTACTCCGTAAGTTTTATACTTCCGATACGAAATAAGGCTGCCTTTAGGAGTTTGATGGTTGCTTTATAAAATATAAAGGTTTCTTTTATAATGTATCTTAAAAGGAAAACAAAGATAAATATACAGATAATGTTCCATCACACTTAACATACGTCACAAACAGCGGAGATTTAACATTAACAAGAAGAAGTGAAACCAAAAGTTAGACTACGATAAAACGAGATATATTTAAAAGTTCATATATAATTTGTAGATTATACCGGCCACACTCACTACAATATACCGGAGAGGTAATCTGTATAGGTAGACCTGTGCAGGTCAATCTAACAATGGTAAAAAAATTGTACAGGTCTATTCCCACACACAAACCGGTCTACCTGCATAGATTACCCTTCCGGTAGGCCGTAGCGTGTGTCGCCGGCATGAGGAATACATGATGAACAGCACCTATAAGCTACAGGCTTATGTTCAGAATATTCTCTAAGGAGTTATGATGATTGAAAACAGGAGTTAGAAATAAAATTCTTACTGATGAAAGAAGTGAAGTTACTTAGTTATTTCCCTTCTTAAGAACTAAACAAGAAGAATTAAAATTCCTAAATTGAAAAGTAACCGAAACGTCATGAGTATGTAGTTTAAAATAATAAAATACGCGTAGTAATCTGAAAAACATTAGTTTTATTTAAATACTAGTTAGTGTTAGATTTAAATTTCATTATAAATCATTCAATATCCAAACGACTATCTGTAATCAAGACTAATAAATGTCTTCGACTCCACACGTACGTTATATTACAACACCTCTCCCCGGAGATGGTCTTCCGTTGTTAGTAATGTCTATATACATACAATAAATGTGTTTTATTATACCCGAAGGAACACATTCGTAGCTCTGACCAAATATTTGAATGACTGTGTATGAACAACCTTTGTATAGAAATAATACATGTTATTTTTATTTATTTAAAATGCTTTATTGCACAACACATTGAAAAAAAGGGGAAATACAAATCATAAAATAAGTACATGGTGCGCAAAGCGATCTCTCACAGACAACCTTTGGTGATAGGAGCTTGGAACGAAAACAGGTAAGTGAAGAAAAAGATACAGAAAAATGAGGAAATATACAATATAATAATAACTTATTATTTAAACACTACAAATGACTATCACACACACTCACTTACCCACACACACACACACACACACACACACACACACACACACACACACACACACACACACACACACACACACACACACACACACACACACACACACAAACACACACAAACATGCATGCGGGTTATATGAATAAAACTACATTTAAGTTATATATTACCTATTCAAACGATTCTTATTTTGTTAAATAACGTTACCTTTTACCTTTATGTACTTGATTCCGTTTGTGGAAGAGCGGGGACTCCTAACACAAGATAATTCCATTTCTTAAAAGGAGCTCCCTAGCTATATCTATTTGTTTCTAGGTATAAGTTACAGTAATAAACAATTTTTTTTATTTTATTTATACTAAGGTATAGTAATAAACTACACATAACTACATCCCAATTATACATACATAGAAATATAAATATCAGTGGTGGCCCAGTGGTTAAAGGGCCCGCCTCGTTGCCGAGATCGCGGGTTCGATCCTGGCTCGGGCAAGTACCAATGTGATTTTTCGGAATCATATGTACTTTCTAAGAATATTTAGACATCACTGATTAATGTTGATTCCCAAAAGAGGGTTGATGTCAGGCAGGCGGCCGGTCGTAAAAACAAATAGCCAAAAACCATTCACAACATGTAAGGCAGACCCTGGCTATAGCTGGGAAAATTGCCAGGTAGAAGAAGAAGAGAAATATAATATATATCAAAATATATATACATAAATATAAACTACATATTATTACATACTTGCGTACATTATTTATATATGGATAGGTAATAGTTTCTCAAACGATGCTTAAATATTGCCAAGGATTTAGACTGCCGTATATCAGTGGGTAGTGCATTCCAGAGTTTGACGGTTTTCACAGTGAAAGAGTTACTGCAGGTTTGTGTCCGGCTGCAGGGTGTGACAAGTTTGTTGTCCCCACTAGAACGCAGGTTGTGCGTGCTATCAACCCCAAGAAATTTGAAGCGTTCTTTAAGGTAAGGTGGTGTATGCTCAACATATAATATAGCATAGAGAAGAGGTAAGGTGCAAGTTTCTTTGAACCTGATTGGCAGCCTCTTCAACTGAGACCAATACTGCGAAACGTTACATGTTATTATAGTTTTAGAGATTCAATTTACAAGTAGTTTATGATACATGCCTATGTTTATCTAAAACTTTATTGAAATTTTAAATATTTTCTTTTGTGTAAAAGGTTTCAAACGTGCTGACTGCCTGCTTGATGGTCAGAAGTTACCGTCGCCCATGGACATAGGCAGCAGAGATGTTGTAGATGCGTTGAGAACCTTAGTTGTGAAGGAAAAGAGAGAGATGGGAATATGAAAATAACAGGAAAGGGTGGGAATAGGGAGAGGCTCTGGACACTCATCGAACGCAACTCGGCCATTATTAGTAACTTGACAACAGCTAGGTTCTACCACTTCAAAGAAAAAAATAATGAAAAATCTATCGACACAAGCAGTCTTATGAACTGTAACTTTACCATTAAGTGTTAGATTCAGGTGCCTTATAATGAAGTATCCTCTTCTACTAAGTTTACCTATGAAAGTGTCTCTCTGTGTTATTTTAGTGAAAAATAAATATTGAAATGATTCCACAATGAATATTAAGTTCCTGTAAATAGAGAGATATAATAGATTTACGAAACTGGCTAAAAAAATATAAAAGAAATTCAATATTTTCACTCAGTCCTTATGTACTCCCGAACTATCATTACAGTCATAGAGACTTAGTTGTAGATATGTTATTACATTACATTTATTTCATAAGAAAACCGATTCTTCCATTGACATAATATAAAATGAGATCTGTTTAAATCAAACTTCAATGTAAACTTTAAAATGAACTTAAATTTAAATTCAATTATTGCATATTGAATATAAATGAAAAAAGAACTCCAAAAGGAAACCGCATTATGCAATATAAAACTGCTTAACATTCCCGGGATATGGTTCCGTTGAACAAGTTATTAATTTTTTATGCACCAGCTGAACCCTGATTTTTAATTTCATGTACTTAACACCAAACGGATTTAAGGAATCCATTTTCCACGTAAATGTTTATAATCATTTGTAAATATTATTTGTATTTAACGCTGTGACATGTACGCTAGTGTTAGTTTTGGGAGCGAACAGTTTTGAGACAATCGTATTATAATGATGAACGAAATTAAATTTTATTTATTACTTATGTTACAAACAGTCCGCTGTATGGACCCCTTGTTGAAGGATCTCTTAACACCGAACCCTCAGATCGGAGAGAGATGTGGATATCAAGTGAGTGTCATTTAAAATAGCAATTAATATGTCTTTTTTATATTAGATTTACAATAATAAGTTTTAAACCGCCAACTCGTCTTGAGCGAGCGTGGTGATTAATGCTCTAACCTTCTCCATGTGAGAAGAGGCCTTTCAGCATTGGGCTCTGACAGGCTGATGATGATGATGTTTATATAACATTTTACGTGATAGATAAAAAAGATATTTTGCCAGAAACCATTCAAAGTTTTTGGGTGAATGTCACAAATAAACATAATAATACTCGCAATAACTTTATTAATCATTATAATCAGTGAAAATTCTCAAGTTTTACACTGAGATGTTGTAAAGTAAAGCAATTGATTAAACATAATGAGATGTAGTACACACTTTCGAGAGTATTCATTTAAATGAAACTAATATTATTCGGATTACTACGCGTGTTTTATTATTGTTAAAACTACGAGTACATACTCCAGACGTTTCGATTACTTTACGTTACAGTTGCTGCAAAAGTAACTGAATCGTCGGGAGTGTGTAGTACGGAGTAAATAGTAATCCGAATAATATTAGTTTCATTTAATTGATTAAATATTCCTACTATTAAATTTAAACAAATATATCTGTGTATAAGTAAGGAGGTAGTCAGAGTCAGTGACATATTAATTTGTATTTCCAGAGCTGTCCGAACACAAAGGACGGATGGGTCAACATACACATAGTGCCTTACTCACACGCCGAGCTGGGGTTCATGAAGACCTTCTCAGATTACTATACAGGAGGTAAGATGTATTAAAGAGAGTCGTGTTAGTTACTCTAGATATAACTCAACAACGACTGTACGGGTTTAGTTGAAAATTGGTGGAAGACTAATATGATCTAACAAATAAAACGTCAGAGGTGGCCTAGTTGTTAAAAGGCCCGCCGCTCATGCATGAGGGCGCGGGTTCGATCCTGGCCCTGGCAAGTACCAATGTGATTTTTCCGAGTCATATGTACATACTTTCTAAGAGTATTTAGACAACACTGATTATTGCATTCCCAAAGAGGGTTGATGTCTGTTAGGCGGCCGGTCGTAAAAACAATTAGCCAAAACTATTCACAACATGTAAGGCAGACCCTGGCTAAAGCTGGGAAATTGCCAGGTAGATGAAGATTCATAGAAATAAAACGATATATTTGAAATTTAACGCGCATTTATACTTAATTATTTTTAACGGTGATTTGCAAAGTAACCGAAACTTCGGGAGTACGTTGTTAAAAATTATCCGAAAATATGAGTTTTATTTAAATTAACACTCGCAAAAGTCTTAGATATCATTAACAGTATATTATTGTAGATTTTAATTTTGTTACTTCAATATAATTGTTAACATTCAGTGACAATACACATTGAGGAATGTTCACGAATTGTGTATGTATGTGATTTTTATTTTCTATATGTATGTATATTTTTTTTCCGTTTTTAATTAATTTAATACTCGTAATAATATTTTATATATATTTACATTATTTCAAATAAATCTTCATGTACTTCTTCAAATAAACTCCAGGGTTTGTAAAGTTTATGTTTTACCTAATATATATTAAATAAGTCACAATATAATAAACTCCAATCTGAGCCAGAAGTTGGAAATAAAAATACACAATACATTTCATAGCTTTTTAACAGATGTCCTCGTCTGTTCCTGATATATTAAGGGGTTCCAAATGACCACCCTTCCCCCTATATGTATTATATATTATTTATCAGCAAACTATATGATGTTTATATGAAAGTTATGTGAAATCAACAATTTTACTTCTTTCACACATTTTTTTCGTCATTTCATATGAAAGGTCGAATAAAAGTTTGAAGAGCGATATTCACCATACCTATCTCTCTTTTTCTTTTTCTCTCTCGTTCCGTCCTCATGACTGAGCGAGGTGCCACATCGAGTTGTTCTGGCCAACAAAACTTTCTATTCCTTATCCAGTATAATATATATAATATAAAACATGTTTATTAAAAACATTTCAGACGACGACTTCTACGAGAAGAGTCGCATCAACATGAAACAGATCCTGGACTCGACCATCAGTGAGTTGTGGGCCGACAGGGAGAGGAGGTACTTACTAATAATGAATAAATTAAATACTTTAGAACTAACAATATACGTAATAATGAGATTACCCCAAATATATTTAAAAAAACTTACAAACCGTGTTATATTGACTTATTTAAACTTACTGATAGTTACAGAATTCATTGATGTTGTTGTTCGCGCGATAGTTTTCACACAGATTATGAATGAAGTGAAACGTTCTTTACTGAGTTTGATTAGTGAACTTACACTACATAGGGTTACAAGACACGATGGCTCAGATGGAGAAGCGACAAAAACGCAATGAACGGAAAGTCGCAGCTTGAAATACTGAATTAATTGTGTTTTTAAAATAATAATAATAATATATATACATATATGTATAATGTATACCTAAACATGATCATATATAGTTTCTTTAAATCGTAATTAAACAGGCATTTCAAACTAAAAAACTATTTAGTAGGTATATGTCTAAGCAATGATAGCAACATTGGCTTTCACCAGTGGCGGCTGGTGGGTTATCAAACTGGTGGTGCACTTTACTAAAATATTAAAATTAGAAAATGCTACAAAACAACAATTGACATAAAATATGTTTATTTTTTATACATTAATTACTGCAACGTAAATTTCCGAAGCGAAATGTTCAATCACCTATTTATTAAAATCGGGTATTGTTTGTATATTTTTTTAATTCAATCTAAGCACAGAAAGTGCATTTAGCAAGTGCATGCTATTTCGTAGAAAAGTTTTGATTCTTTTCAATTCCAATTCGTCATACATCGGGTGCTCTCGGTAATCTTCGGCCGCTCGTGCGGCGCTCGAGAACCGACTCATTACTCGGAACATTTCTATGAACTATCTTTTGTCTCACGCGCCAGGCGTATTGATGCGTATCTCATACAAGATGTATTAGGAGTCCTCGTGCACTCGCCAAAGCGCACGAGATATTAGTTTAGTAAAGCGCTCAAACTTTTTGACTATAATTAGAAATTTAATTTTTTATACGTTTAGAAAATAAATATTAAAATGATAATTTAAAAATATAGATGAAGTAATATTTTGTAATTTTTAAATCTTTTAAATTGGTGGTTCAGCGCACGAGTGCACTTAAGGTACAGCCGCCACTGGCTTTCACTATAAATAATATACTCGTTTATCTTTTATTATTATTGCTATCATTAAGACCCTTTGTTTTTAACTATCTCTTTGTAAATCTCCCGAGAGTACAGTAACAGTATTATATTGTGTTATATCATACTACACTCTCTGTAAGATCCCAAGATCTCTGTAAGATCTGTCCCAAAACATTTTCTTGACAAAGTGGAAAAAAAATTCTAGAAAGTTGAAAATGATTATAAGAACTTATAGCATATGTTTGTTATGAAATAAAATATGTACATTTTACACACACAAACACACAAAACATATATATGTATGTATTATTTCCAGGTTCGTCATAGCAGACAGTGAGCTGCCGTACTTCTTCTACTGGTGGTCCAAGAGGGATGGCACAGGTATGTACCGCTGTCCGCTACCACTACACAGAACAATGTGTCTGAGAACAATTAAGACTTGTCCATATATTACATGTCATACAATTTAAACAATTCACTATATAGACTTATTTCCATTCTTTATCTGGCAAAATATATTAAAATATGTAATTATAAATCTAACAGACCACAAGATAAATATGAATATCTTCGAAAATAAGTTAATTAAGATTTCAATGAAATATCGTGTAATATTAATATGAAATAATTATAACCGAAACCGTTTCAACGACTGTCATATATTCGATAATGGTTTGTTACATCAGTCCGTAGGATGGTGTACGAGCTGGTCCGCCAGGGTCGCCTCGTGATCCTGGGAGGAGCCTGGGGCCTGCAGGACGAAACCACCACCTACTACCAGACCATCATAGACAGCTACACGTACTCTCTCAGGTACACTCACCCTCTACGATATTCTCTTTATATTCCTCTTCTTCTACCTGGCAATGTCACAGGTTTAGCCAGGGTCTGCCTTACATGTTGTGAATAGTTGTGGATAATTGTTTTTACGACCGGCCGCCTGCCTGACATCGACCCTCTTTTGGGAATGCATTTATCAGTGATGTCTAAATACTCTTAGAAATACATACGATTCGGAAAAATCACATTGGTACTTGCCCGGGCAAGGATCGAACCCGTGCCCTCGTGCATGAGAGGTGGGCCTTTAACCACAAGCCCACCACTGACCTAATAATATTTTCCTTTATATTCTATTATATCTCTTGACATTCACTTTAACAATATTTTTTCTGACACCTCTCTGCTTCATTAAATAAAGTACTTACTGTTTATTAATAATAAAATAAAAAATAATTTAAATGATTTATCACTAGTCATATAACTTTCTTCATTAAAGTATTAACGTAGGTTATCCAATAAGAATCGTTTTGTAAGTCGGTACATGACAAACAACCAAATCATTATTTGTTATTATTGTTAGAAAGATCAACGCCACGTTCCTGGAGTGCGGGCGGCCGCTGGTCGCGTGGCAGGTTGATAACTTCGGTCACTCGCGGGAGTACGCGGCGCTGGTGGCGCTCATGGGCTTCGACGGACTCTTCATCAACCCCATCAGCTTCGACGACGAACTCATCAGGATGGAGAGGAGGGGGCTCGAGCTACTGTGGAGGGGCAGCGACGACCTGGGCGAGTGCTCACACTGTGTACTATACTGTTAGGTGGTCGAGCCCGGCTGTGGACTTACTACAGCTCGAACATGGGCTGGCTCGACCGGGGAAGTACCACCCTCTCACAGAACATCGGCGTGGAGTAGCCTTTAATGGCTGCTTTCGATCGATAAGTGAGAGAGATGGTCGTCCTTTCCTTTGACCCTCCCTCTCTAGCCGTTTTCTCATTTTCATTTACAATTCTTAAAACCAAAGTTAACAATTCATCCGTAACATCTCTTACGTTGCTGATGTCCACGGTCGACGATGTGTACCGTCCATCCTGTAGTCCATCTGCTTATTTGTCACTTTTCTCATGAAAACAACATATTACTTAATACATCAATATATACTCACCAGCTTTTCAATTTTAAGTTATTACATAACTTTAATATGTTCAGTTTTATAGCCGAGGCTGTGCTTATAAATGTTATGCCATTTCATTTTATTGTTATTATTGATGTAGGTACACGTGATCACGTCTGGGTCACCACTGTGTTCATACTGTCGCACCTTATTCTGTAAGCTTGAAATAACACTATAATAGCAATAGTCCGATTAATAAATAATATAATCAAAAGGCACAGTATTCGTACTCGGCGCCAGGTGTAGTGACCCCCCCCCCCCTGTAGGTCCCGAGTCTGATATCTTCACCCACAAACTGTTCGACGGCTACTGGTCCCCGCCCGGCTTCTGTTTCGGCAGCATGTGCTCCGACCCGCTGCTCGTCACCAGTGATGAACTGTTTGACAACGCTAAGGAGAGGGTGAGTGAGTGACTGGGATGTATACAGTACGAGGAAACTCACTTATACATATGTATATTGTAATAAGAATGTTACATTCTATATCCTAGACAACATTTACTCACTCGTATAAAGTTCTCTGTGCGAGGTGACTGAAGCGACCTTAGCGTCTCTTACTAAACCGTTTTTTTTTTCCGACTTGTGGATCTGTTTTCCAGGTGCAAATTTAAATTAGTTGTCCGATTTTATTATTTAAACTAAACCCCATACATCAAACATAAATCCTCTCGTCGATCGTACATTCGGTTGCCTATCTAATAACTTTATCTAATAAAACTCCTAGTATTATAAACTTAGTTTAGTGTAATCATTGTAGCTGCATGTTATACATGATGACGTCATGACCGCAGGCGGAGCTGTTCGTTGAGAAGATCCGTTTCCGCCAAGCTCCTAACTATCAGACGCGGCAGGTGATGGTGATGATGGGCCAGAGGATGGGCTACAGCGACTCCAAGCTGTGGTTCACCAACATAGAGAAGCTCATAGGGTGAGCACGGGTCGTACGGATATAGAATATATTATATGGAGGTGAACGTTCAACACGCATTAGATAGGGGCCCCTTAGACCTGCACCTGGCTCGCAAGTCCCAGGCACTGTTGAAGCTCCTCTCACTGTAATCATGGATCCGGTACCCGCACCGTGGATACATGGAGTCATAAGAATACCGTCTCGACTCTCAGCGTCTACACTGATATTATAGAGAGGAAATTTGTATGTGTGTGTGTGTGTGTGTGTGTGTGTTTGTTAGAAAAAAACTCAGAAAATTCTAAGCAGATTTCAAAACTTTATTTCTTGTGAGTAACATAGTTTACATATACAGCTGGGACATAACACAGACATGTAACAGACACGCGTGTGACGGCGGGAGGAGAAACTAGTGTGTGACAGAAAATGAAATAGAAATATATAAGCAAAAATTTCCTTGAAAACATTTCCATGGCGTTGTTACGAACTCAATGTTTTTTTAAATTTTTACTTAAAATTTTGTTTTAATTAAACAACAGCTTCTATTTATAGTTGAAGATGACGTCAGACTTTAAATTGAAAAATAAACTGAAATGAGATAGGTATATAGACCTTAAAAAATATTAATAATATGTTTATTATGTAAATTTTAAAAAAATAATTCTATGAAAACGAGCGATACTTAAAAATGATATCAAGTCATTTGTTACAATCAACATTTACTGAAGACGTGAGCGACGAGGAATATATAAAAAAAACAATTGACACGACATTTACTAGGATATTAATTATATTTTTCAGTTTTGTCAATGAAGAAGGGTTCAAACATCAAATGTACGCCATGTACTCCACGCCGACATGCTACCTGCAGGCGACGCACCAGGAGAAGTAATGACTACAGACACCCATAATACATTACTATATATACATATAAAACATGTATTATTCATATTAATAATATATATTCGTCATTCGAAGCCCGGTGTTGGAAACCAAACAGGACGACTTCGTGCCTTACGCGTACGACAAGGACTCGTACACGAGCGGGCTGTACACCTCGCGCCCCGCCTTCAAGTACCTGGTGAGGGAGGCCAACGTGTTCCTGCAGGTACGGGGGAGACGGGCGGACTGAGCTGTACTGACTGATGGGTATATTGTATAGTACAGCACATACATTAAGTACACGCGGACGGAGTCGGCGGTAAAAACTAGCTCAAGTAAAGTAAAGTCGTTTCTCAATCAGAATGAAATTCTATTATTACGAATATTATAATTTTTGTTATTATTATATATCTGTCTATAGCATCGTTACAAGCAATCACAAGTCTTCAAAACACAAACGGAAATTAATCATTACAGCTCATTAAAATATTATTGTTCATAGAGAACAGTTAGCATCAAAAAAAGAAATGACATAATACATTTATGTATATGGTGCCCACTGCCCTTTGTTTTATGTTTTCTACGAGTTATTTCTTTCAAATGCATTATCGCAAAACCGGCTTTAATGACCGACCGGCCGAGTAGTGCATCGTAAGTTATAATTAAACAAACATCAGTTACTCAAAATCTTATGTAGTTAATAGTGTAATAGGTAGTATATATTTTATGTACTAAAAGTTTCGGGTGTACTCGATGAATGCCGGCGTACGGATAAACCCGACAGGGATTTTGTAACACCGTAAAAGAAATTTGTAATATATTATATAAATAAATAATAATAAATAAATAAATAAAATGTGATTTTACTATTCGAAGTTATTTCCAATAATAAATGTCTGTATAGTCATAGCTTACTTTTATTCCACATTTAATATACATATATTGAGATTAACTATATATTCCAGATCGCGAAACAGTTGCAAGTTTTAACGAACTTGAAAAACAATGACGGAATATTCGAAGAATACATGTGGATCATGGGTACGGGACATGTACATGTAATTGACGACGTATTAGTTGTAGCCTTACTATCAGTTAGCATCGATTAACTGAAAACGGATAGTTTATCGTTTTTCATTCATCTGTAACATTAACGTAGTTTTAAGTAAGATGCATTCTTTTACTCATACTAGAGGTCATTGTTATTTGAATGACACATCAATTAAAAGATTAATAGTTTCTGTGTAACAAAAGAAATTTTCTTTATACAATGTAAAATAAAACACAGATAACATTTATATTTGGGGTTTGTCTTTAATTTTGTTTTCATGTGTACATATGTATATGAGTGCAGGTGTAGCGCAAGACCACAACGTCATCACTGGCGCCATGCGGCCCTACGCTAAAGACTACTACACTAAGTACCTGAGCATCGCCATCCAGAAGGCCACTATCATCGTGAAGCAGGCCTTCAAGTAAGGCTCGTCGAGCGACCTCGCTTCATAGATAATGTTTTCATATATTAATATGTAATATGTTTGAAGCAAACTCCGCTCCAGCAACGCGTCGCTTGACACTGACTACCTGTTGTGTTACCTGAACGAGTCCTCGTGTCCGAACAGTAAAGTTGAATATTTTTATGTGAGTACTAGTTGACGCACGCGACTCCACACATATATATTAAAACACAAAACACTGAACACGTAGTGATTATAAAAGCAGTTGTTCAAGACTCAGCCTCGTATTATTTTACCGCATCTACGCACGGCACAGTATTGATTTTTTTTTTAATCAGGAGTTTTCTATATACAACGTCATTTCTTTTATTTTTCTATTCCCTGTACTAAAAATTGTCATTAGCTCTTCTCTTGCCGCAAAAGGTTCAGTTGTAACAAATTTAAGTAAAACTGCAAAACTTCAATGTGAAGTTTTATTTTTGAGACTACATCGTGTCCAGCTACCGACAATTGTTATTTGATGGTTTTATATTTTATCCATTAAGTATTACGACAATAGATATTAGAAATCATTTGTTTCTTTCAGATAACCGTATACAATCCCTTAGCCTGGAACGTCACGATGCCTGTACGTATACCGGCGTACAAGAGACAATACAACGTGTATGATCCTCACGGTACTCATGCTTAGGATATTCCTTACAACTATAAATATTAATTTGGTTTTAAATCTTAATTTCTATATCCAGGTGTAATACTCCCATCGGTATTGATGAGAATACCACAGCAAGTGTTCAATATACCGAACAGGTTTACAGAACATGACCTGGAACTGGTGTTCACAGCTACAGACGTTCCAGCACTAGGGTACAGGTCTTACTACATAGAGGAAGTTAAGAGGAAGAAAAGATCACTCATTAAGAAGATCGGCAAGAACAAACAGAAGTACTTCATACGACAGACGAGAATGGATAATACGAGCATGTTAGAACAGAGCTATGATGATGAAACACAAGCGGGGCTTGGCAGTGCGGGGAGAGGGGAGGAGGGGGATGAACGTGTGACGAGACCGGAGGTGGACGACGACGAACACGGTGATACTACTGAGACTAGTAGCACTACTACTGCTACTAGAAGTACTACCAGAGACACGCCGACAAGTGATAATAGTTGGATAGAGTCGACCGAGAACTACATCAAGAACAAGGTGAGTGGACACATGGATACGATACATACGATGGGACTTTTCAGCCGACTAAATGAAAGCGTAGTTATCCAAAAAGCTAAGTTTTATTTAAATGTTCACACCAGAAATGTTAGAAATCATTTCCCTAACAGAAAGTCCACGACTCACCCGTAGGTATTATTAACGTTTCAGCGCTTTTATATTTCATGAAAAGTCTCCATCAACCCCATATGTACATCTTATTATATACTCAATACACGTGTATAGTTGACGTGACTCCAAACTTCCAGTACATCCGTATAAACCTGGACAGTCACCGTAAAGTGTCCTCTATGAGTCTGTCCAACGGTGTCAACACGTCGCTCGACATACAATACTACTTCTACGTATCGGACGACCCTGACACCGTCCAGAACATGAAGAGACGCCCCGGAGCCTACATCCTCAGACCTTTGGACAATAAGCCCGAGGCTATCATAGACTATATAGATACTAAGGTGTATAAGAGCGAGGAGGTCCAAGAAATACATTCTAGATACTCGGACTATGCTTCATTTGTATTGAGACTGTACAGAGACAGTGTGCTCTGTGAAGTAGACTGGATCCTGGGACCTCTACCAGCTGACGGCCTGGGCAGAGAAGTGTTCATACGATACACGACCGACCTGGAGAATGATGGAGTGTTCTACACGGACGGGAACGGGAGGCAGGCGCTGAAGAGGATCAGGCACCGGAGACACACGTACCAGCCCTACGACCTGGAGCCTGTCGCTGGTGAGGAGTAACGGAGTGTAGACCGGGACACTTAAACTGAGCTTTACATGTGTGGGAGTCAAAGTAAAAGTAGAGGTACAAAAAAACTTTTAGAATTAAATTTTATTGCATTTAAAAAAGATACATAACATAAGTGCGAGACCTATTCTAGATTAAATATTAAAAATGCAAAGCTTTTGAAAGGTCAGATGTTAATATTAATTATTAATATTATGTAAAAAGCTGATTCATTAATAAAAAAAATTGGTTGTTTGTAAAGTAGGTTTACGATGGAGATGTTTACGTGATAACGTCTTATTGGTGATATAAAATTTTGGGAAGTAAGGAATTAATGAAGATAACAATTTTTTCAAATTTTAAATTACATCTATCGTTTTATTTACACTTTTGATGATAAATTTGGGGTGTATTCGTTTGTATGTATTCATTCGTTTGTATGCGGCTAAAGTAAGAGAGACGGAAGATCGGTCCACTCACTCGAACGCTATGTCTGCCTCGGCTCGTGAGGATTTCGCGTGACAAGTTTCACGGAATGACTGGCAGCGCTCGAGATGAGACGGGAGATCGGTCCGTCTCTCTCTCGTTATACCTGCGATCTCTCTCGTGAGGTTTTGGTGTGACACAAGTTTCTAAACATGTCACCCGACTAAAACAATTTTAAAGACCTTATCACGTCAAAAATTGAAAAACTAGTGAGACGAGAGATATATATCGGCGCTATCAGCCTTAATAAATGATGCGACATGAAAATAATTTGAGACTGCCATCAATTCTTATTAAAACTCATTAGTATTCATGATTATTGTTAAAAGTAAAACGAAATCAAAGATTGTTTAAAAGGACTACGTTTAAACCTTGGTATAAATATGACGTCTGGACGAACGACGGCATAGTTGAGAGTTCAGCTAGTGCGGTCTCTTGAATATTGTGATTATGAAGAACCTTCGAGAAATACAAGGAAATTAAGAACAATTTCCTACCGAAAAAAGTGACATAAGTGACGTCAGTGAGGCTGGAGTCCTTCTCTTTAAAAACAACGAAATGTATAATAAATCCGATATATATAACTATACAAATTCTTCTTCACTTGACATTGCGTTTTCAACATTTGACGTTGCTACCAGTACAAAAGATTAAGTGCGGAAGGTGCGGAGCGGAGTGAAAGCAGTATAAACCGGTTCAAAACTAGAAAAAAAATTTGGCATTCAAAAATTTGACATCACACCTACACTATCCACTGTGCACTCACACAAATGTAAAGCTCAACTTAAATCTAACGTACTATACTTAAATATAGTTTTTAATAAGTAACCTTATAATTTTATTTCTTGTATCTAAATATTAATTCATTTGAACCTACTAACTGTTTTCTCAGGTAACATCTATCCAGTTACAACAAGGATATACATAGAAGATTTAAAGAAGAACCTCCGCTTGTCGATATTCAATGATCGATCACAAGGAGGCTCCTCACTGTTAGAGGGCGCCGTGGACCTCATGGTGGACAGACAGATATACACCGACGACAGCGGAGTACAGACGTTCCTTAACGAGACTATTGATGGGAAAGGACTCATCATCCGCGGGACACACTACGTGTACCTCACGAGAGGCGACCACAGACCTAACAGGGTCTTCGAGAAGAAGTTCTCCAAGGAAATAGAACTGAAACCGCAGATATTCTTCTCACGAATCAGTCAAATGGTGGAGAAGAATCACTGGCTTCACAAGAAGAACGAATACTCCGCTCTCAAAACCAAGTTACCCATCGGCGTTCACATACTGACGATACAGGAGTGGAATCAAAAGACGTTACTGATACGACTCGAGAACTACTTGGAGAAAGTCGACGTCATAAAGAGCGGAGTTAAAGAAGTGAAGCTGAAAGACATGTTCGAGAACATAGAGCCTTACGAGCTGAGCGAGGTGAAACTAGCAGCGAACATACACCTGAAGGATTGGACGCAGGTACAGTGGCAGAAGAACGGATCGTTTGTGAAGAACTTCAACGAGCACTACGGAAACACGAGGCACGTGGAATACAGCGACGATCAAATGAAGCCGCTGAAGAAAGTAGATATACACACCGGCATACTGCTGTACCCGCAACAGATACGGACATTTGTTGTGTCTTACAGAGTACTACGACCATGACACGAGCTGGCATATATATATAATAAACACATTGAACACTTGCCAGTAATAACACTAATGCACACTCAGTGAATTATATGTTTTAGACAGATTGGGCGTTTCATTATAAAACGGATGTATTGCCATCAAATATTTTAAAAAAGATAAGTAAAAATAAAGTTGTTAATTTTTATAATTTCTTTGTGGAATACAAGGTAAAAAATACAGTGGACTATCGACAATCTGACAAATAGTGTGCTGGCTGGAAACCGATTAATATGTATCATTACACAGAATCTAACACACACACACATATATATATATATATATATATATATATGTATATGTATATATATATATATATATATACATATATATATATACATATACAGGGTGACTGGTGAATTACTATCAATATTTAAGGAGAATACTCGGTACATGATTCTCATTCGAATTATGTAAAAAAAATAGATAATAAAGTGTGGACACGTTCCAAGTGTTCCAAGTGTGGACGCGTGCGGCGGCGTGCTGATACAACACCACGCCGCCGCACGCGCGTGTGTGTGTGTGTATGTGTGTATACCTAATCTGTAGGGTGTTCACACGATGGGTAATTAATTACATAACTTTTGGTTAACTTTACTTAGAAGTTTATTAATATTTATGTTATATTAATTGTTATTGTTATTGTTTTGTTATTTTGTCATATATGATCGTCAAATATCACGTCCTCAAATATCGATAGTAATTCACCAGTCACCCTGTATATTGTAGACATGATGTTGTATGGTATATTGTTTCCATTATTAAAAGTGCCATCCAGATGTATGACACGAGTGGTCAGTGGGTGGTGGCTCGGGCCCACGCTCCGGTTACAGTACAGCAGCAGGTTGCTGTTCAGTGGCCGGGGTCATTGACCGCCCGGGGACTGGCGGCACTCGAACATTAACCTAACACCAACTAACTGACAGCTATTCTATGGAAAACAGTTAAGAAATCGATTAATTATCAATGCTAATGCCTTACCTCCGGATATACGATCCCTTTAGAAATATTGCAAAATTGTACTTTTCACTGTCATATTGGCCTTAACAAATAACAGTCAGATTCAAATATACGAAGCCAGAAGTAGCGAGGCATGAAGCAGCGGTTCTGTCTGAAGAGAACCCGGAGGAGGCTGAGGCGGCTTTCCTTAGAGCTTCGGCGGCTGAGGATGCGATTCGGATGTGGCTGTCTAAAGGGAATCACCAAAGAGCTTTGGCCTTGGCCGAACAGCATGCCACGCATATGGTGAGATATTTTGTTTGATAAGTGACGGAACTTTAGTTTCAATGTTCATATACTTTATTCTGATTTACTTTATATAACTCTTAAACGATAAGATTTGCTAATAAGTTGACAATAGGAGAGTTTTTGTTGTTAAAAAAATTGATAGCTCTGCTTACATTGCCTATACTAATGATTTAAGTAGTGTAGTAAGTGTAGTTTTATGTGACGTGTATAGACGGAGGAGGTGTTGGTCGAGCGCGGGGACCTGGCACAGTCTGAAGCTCTCATGATAAGAGAAGTGGTGCAGCATTACAAAGACTTGGGTTCGTTCGGAAATTACTTTATTGTATCTCTGAAGAATTCCTTTTAAAGAATGACAAAAAGCTTTCTTAAGAACAATAGTTTTTATAAAATGATGATAGCTTGTTACCTTCGTCTATGACGTATTAACATACATGACACTTTCTTGGACAAGATAGAGATCAATAAATTCATAAGCTGGATAACTTACAGCAGCGATAGTTTGTTAAATTTAAACAGCTGTGCGAGTGCAAATTAAACTGTAAGTTTGTTTATGATCTTTAAATTATTGTAAATATTTTGATTCACACCATTTAAACACGCCGACTGTGTTTAACTTTGTCGTAGGTATTGTGGTGTCTAAACCCTGAAAAGTGTGATGGAAAGAAGAATCATAATGTAGTTATTTCGTGTACTTATTATTACCTACTTCTTATTATTGTCGGACGGCGGAGAGAGTGTGCGTGTGCAGCGGAGTGTTGGTGAATAGCTGACCATATTATAATCAGTGAAGATAATCACACTCTACAGGTACAGCTGTTAGCTGGCTCATACGACAGATCAACTCGAGCGTTTGAAGAATATATGGTTCCGTGGCAGGGACAATGGACTCACGATGTGTACTCTGATTTCTTTGATGGTGAGGCTTTTCTCTTATTTTACCTGAAATTTTGACTAAAACCCATATTGAGACTTAATCCTATCGTGCTTTTTACTTTAATTTAGTGTTATGACACGAATATCTAAATGTATTGCAGTTAAAGGGGAGGGACATGAGTTACTTGTTATGATGTGAGCACTTGTCTTGGAGTGAATCAGACACTCTATATTAGAAGGTTGAGGTCTCTGGGTCTGGGATAACTTTGTCTTGGAGTGCGTTGGATCGGTTGTCCCAGAAGAGACCCTGGGCTCGGGATATTGGGATGCTTTACAACCACTTTGTGAGGGTTATGTTTATTTAACTGAGTGAAATCAAAAATCGAAAACATTTCTGCCGTTATATTTCCTAATTTCAGACGCAGCCAATGAAGGAGATGACTTATCTCATGACTCCAACCTGCCTCCTGGTGTTGACCAGCCTATGGATGACAATGAGCCACAAGCAGGCCCTTCTGGGATCACAAGACATACAGAACTGAATACTTCTACTACTAACGAACAGAATTTCATGTCCTCTCTGCCAATAGGGCAGTTGTATTGAATATTATTTTTACTAGATTCAATTCTGTTCTTGTTTTTGAGAATATGTATATTATACTATCTTTTCAGAGTCCTTTAAGTATTTCCACTGTTAATATTATTTAATAACTGTTATAAAGTAGTTTGTAATGTCTTTGTAAAGAATATTTCGTTTCTATGATATTTATCCATTTCTGGATATTAAAAGTAATTTTGATCCATAAGTTAATCTTTTTTTTTAAATATTAAATATATTATGCAACAAGTCTAACTCAATACTAATTTAACATTTAGGTACGGTAGTTAAATGAAATAATTATATCGTTTTAGGTACAACTTTATTGAATGACTAGTTTTTGCCCGCGACTTCGTCCGCGTTAATTTCATCATTATTAATATATGTACAGCTGACCGGGCGAACTCTATTCTGTCCTAGAGGCCATAAATAATTAGGTTTTTCCTGTTTTAATCGAACAGAATGATTGACATATTAGTTAGTTGTCAAATCTAATGTCAAAGAAAACATTTGTATGGGAAATAGAAAAGGGCTGTTTTTAGGGTTTTCCCGGAAATGAATCAATTTTTTTCACCTTTTATACCTTCCCTGAACCTCCACGAACATTTCAAGACTAAGATAACATAAATCCGTTCAGCTGTTCTCGAGTTTTAGCGAGACTAAGGAACAGCAATCCATTTTTATATATATACTAGTTTTTGCCCGCGACTTCGTCCGCGTTAATTTCGTCATTAGTAATATAGGTATAGCTGACCGGGCAAACTCTATTCCGTCTTCAATACCCCGGTATTGGTATTTATTAAATTTCTACTGTTTCAATCGAACAGAATGATTGACATATTAGTTACTTGTCAAGTCTAATGTCAAAAAATCGTTTGTATGGGAAATAGAAAAGTGCTGTTTTTAGGGTTTTCCCGGCAATTTTGCCATTTTTTTCTCACCTTTTAAACCTTCCCTGGACTTCCGGGAGTATTTCAAGACTAAAATTAGCCAAATCGGTTCAGCCGTTCCCGAGTTTTAGCGAGACTAAGGAACAGCAATCCATTTTTATATATATAGAAGATAGAAGATAGAAGATTACCAGATTACTCATGATTATTGCTCGGTAACAATGACCTCCTCTTCTTTAAAATTTTTTTATGCGAATGTTAGAAGTTTAGTCAAATTGGGAAAAATTTACGAATTACAATGTATCATTAAAAGTTTTAATTATACTGTACATTTAATATTACTAACGGAGACCTGGATAAAATCGGATTCTGAAGCAAATATCTTAAAAATTCCAAACTATAAGCATATTTACAATTATAGAACTGACTCTCTCGGCGGAGGAGTGTCTATGTATGTCCACAATGATTTATCCTACACGCTTACAGAAGAAAAGTATACTGATGGTAAAAACTTCCTATGGATTTATTTAGAAAAATGTAGCTTACATATTGGACTTGTTTATAGACCCCCGACAATTAATATTGAAAACTTTTTTGAAATATATTCAACTCAGTTGGAAAAAAGGAAAAGATCAATAGTATTTGGAGACTTTAATATAAATATTTTAAATAAAGATCGATGCAGTAAGAAATATAAATATATACTACAAGAGTCCGGTTACATTATTCTCAATAAAATCAACAGTCATTTTTGTACAAGGGAAACAGAAACATCTAAATTGATCCTTGACCACGTTTGTACAAATACTAATAATGATTTTCATATTGCTCTGATAGACTCACCGCTATCAGACCATAAACAAATTTATTGTGAATTTAAAAATTATAAAAAAGAACCCAAAAGGAAAACAAAGTATGAAGCAATAAATTATGACAATTTATACAAGGATATGGCGGAAATAAATCTTCAGATTATAGACGACTATGAGGAACTGAGCGGCTATATAAAAAGGGCTAAAGAGAATAATAAAGTAATTTAATACAAAATACAAAATCTACCAAAAGACGACTGGTTAAACAAACATATACTGGGTGAAATTAAAAACCGTAATATCGTGTGGAAAAATGTGAAACAAGATACAGATAATAAGGGACTACGAAAGGAATTTAATAACTTACGAAACAAAGTTGGAAGTACCATTAGAGAAATTAAGGATAAATTTTATTTGAACTCATTTATTAAATGTTATAACAAGTCTAAAAGAATGTGGGACCTTATCTATACTTTTGCCAATTATAAAACCGTAAATGATAATATTCTCCCTAAGCTTATAGTAAAAGATAAGATTATTAGTGATGGTACGGAA